TTCGGTAAGTCTTGGTACTCATTCAGTAAACGTTTTGGTAAATCTCACATTTTAATTTTAGCATATTATAATTCAGAAATTTATAAAAACATTTCCTTTAATCAAAGTTATTAGTAAAATTGGGCATTGGTTGCTAAAAATGATCAAAAATGATCAAATGTGTTTAACTTATTTAAACTCTTAACTCCTTGCTACCTGTATCTCAATCTGGTTGAACCTAAACGCCCCGGTTTACGATCGTCTTCTTGTTCTCGCTTCTTCTTAACTCGTGTTAAACACTCTTTTGCCAAATCTGCTTTTGCTTTTTTTGGCCCTTTTCTCTGGAACTATCTACCTACTTCTCTGACTACTTCTCCATCACTTACGAAGTTCAGAGCGGATCTCAAGACCCATCTGTTTTCAAAATTCATTGAGGAGCGATGTTGAACATCGCGGAAATAGCGCTTTACAAGCTAATTGATTGATTGATTGATTAAATATAAATTTTTAAATTACCATATATTGCCTAAGGTGGCTTCAAGTTCTGAATTGTAATTCAGTTTGGTATTTTTTAGATATAAATTCTACGTGTATACTAAGTTTAAATGTTGGAATATATTTAAGCTGCTTCATCTTGTGACATTGTTTTTTAAAAGCAAAGTTTTTGTCACTGTTTACTTTGTTTCTGACATGAAAATATAATGCTTCAACAATGCTTTAAAAAATGATTGTCTTTATTTCAACAGAACGACCAAAAGTCATTGATCCACTAGACAAGCCTTTCAACCAAAACGTGACTGTCGGTGCGGATGCTATATTTCGATGCAACCCGACCGCAGATCCCAAACCTGAAATTGAGTGGCTGGTGAATGGCAAAAAGTGGCAAGGTGATTCAATTGAGATAGTTTTTCATGATTATGTGTGATTGACAAAATTGTGCCAATCACATGTGTGATGGCATAGATAGGATGATGTTTTTATAGGCCGCTGATAATTTGGAACAAGGGTTAAGGTGTAGTTTGGTTCCCTGTTTTAGTAAAGGAAAAACAAACATTTATTTTGATAAATTTTGTCGATGAATTTTTGTTAAACTTGTTGCCACAAGAATAATGTTTAACATTTTAAAGCAATTACATTCACAAAGTTGGTTTGTTATTGTAATAATATTATTGGTTTGGTACATGAAATATTAAGCTAGAAAAAAAGACCAAACTCAGAAGGGGTTTTACCATTACGTCAATTGTATTTTAATAAAGTATTCATAATTTTTAATTGATCTTGCTATACACTCTTTGAATTAATAAAAAGTCCGACAAAAATAAATCATTTTAAACTATTTTTATTAAATAAATGATTATCTTCTACGATGTCGTTTTGGTTTTTAAATGTTGGGCTCAAAATCTGTTAATGAAAATGTAAATGTAAATGAATGTTAATGTTATAAAAATGAATAAATCTTTCAAGTTCATGTTAACAGCCATAGTTAACAAACAGTTATTGTAATAATTCACTTTTCTTTTTTATGTTTAATAAATTAAGACTGGTACTTTTGAAATTCTTAAATTACAGTAGCCCATGGTCAAAATAAAAGTTAAAAAAATGAATTTAGAAATAAAATGAAGCTTCAACTAGACATGGAAAACTGAGTCAACAATCTAGAAACAGCAGCAGCGACAGATGTAAAACAGAAACTAGTATTAAAAAGCTGTAGGTAACTGAGGAATTTAGAAGAGAGAAAAAGTTTTTTTCTAAAGTGACTGTAACGAAAGTAGGGTGGAATGTTAAGAATTGTGTCGCAATACAAAGACAAGTTCTGTAGCAGTAAAAACCAATGGGGATATAAAAAAATATGTAGGAGTCAACCGGTAACGCCAATGTCACAGGTTATTGAGGAAACGATAAAAACTTTCTTTTTAAAATGTTGGATGTTTGACATTACAATATACATTTGTTGGGAATGTTGAACGCAAGTGCTTATTTTATAGGTCTCAGCGATCCTTTAGAGAACTAAGGGGCTGATCATTACTATACGGACATCAGAATTTAAAAAACGCAGCAGGACAGCAACAAAATTATTGGAAAGAAAATATTTTAATGTTATGGAACGTTATTAAAATTTACATGATACTTCAGCAAAATTAATTTTTAACAATGACTTAAAATTTTAATAACTTTATTTTATCGAACACTTATTTGAAGACGTAATTTTATTTAGACAATTTCGTCTTTCCGATAAAAAAAATCTTAACAGATAAAAGTTGACAATTAAGATTTTTTAATTTTTTGACTTAATTTTTTGGCAGTGAGGTAAAATTTTTCTGCCTGTGTTTAATAAATCTCCAATTTTTGTTGAACTTTTAATATAGACATTTTGTTCTTTCCATAAAAAGATTATTGATAAAAAATAAATATTTTTCATATACGAAATAGAAAAACCAAGATATTCTCTGGAATTTGAAAGAACTCAATTTAAAATTGAAAATGTGCAAAAGGTAGCAGATGTTTTTGTAGTACAGTGTAATGTCAGCAACAAGCATGGAAGGATTTTGTTGAACGGATATTTAAACGTACTATGTAAGAATTTTTTAATCATTACATTCACATTGTAGTTAATTAAATGTTTCCATATAAGCTGCGACGGAGATAATAAAAGAGCCGAAGGATGTTATCTATGATCCCAATTCAAATGCCACGTTTGAGTGCGAAGCCATAACTGACCGAGACACCACGGTGACCTACACATGGTTGCTAAATAATCAAAAGATTGAGGACGGGTCCGTTAAAACAGATCAGAGTGTTTTATTTCTAGATTTAGCCAATTTACCAAAAAACGGAAGAAAATATATTGGAGAGTGGACATGCAATGCTTCAAACTCTTACAGCTTTGATGTTAAACGTGCGAGTCTCATTGACAAATGTTAGTTCTTCTTTACAATGAAAAATTTGAATAAATTAACATAAACAAGTTTTAAAACAGCCGCTGGTTACATATGGCCTTATTGGTGGATAATACTGTTGATCCTCATTCTGTTCCTCTTGGCGCTCTTCCTCATTTGCCTTATTTGCTGCTGTTTGTATCGCAACAGAGGTGACCAATATCTCGGTTAGCTTTGAACTTGCTGTTTTTGTCGCTGTTGTTTGATAATATAATTATTTTCGTAGTCGATGAAATTGAGCATAAAAATGGAAACGACCCTGAGAAAGAATTGATTGCTTCTGGATTCCATGACTATCAGCGAGACCGGTGAGTCAATTTTTATTATTTTTTTAATTCAAATTGCATTTGCACAATATACAGTGAACATATTTTAAATTTTGATTTTTTAAAAATATAACTCATATTTATTTATATATTTGTACTTATATTTATTAATATCAGAATTTCGTCAATTTTTTGATAGTTTCTTAAAGAAACTCAGAAAGTTATATTTTTTGCTTAAAGTAAATCATATATAGGATCAAAATAAAAGGAATTTATCTGGTTCAACATAAACTTCTTTGTTGATTTAAATAATACTTACTCATAATTTGAAATTCAAATCAACATTTAACATTTTTTGCAATTATTTCAACATTTAAGTGTTAGAATCTTTACAATTTAAAAAATCACTTCTTTTAGATTAACATCTTTGTTCCTTTCAAGCATATTTTTGTCAGAAATGATAGAAATAAATTGGTTTTAAATTATTGAATTTTTTTGGTATTTATCCATCTTGAGACAAATAACGAAAAAATTGTCACTTGTTGTCACCATTAAGCACTGATTCTACTGAAAAATGGTTTGACACCAAGTTGGTCGTGACTGTGTAGTATAAGTTACAAAATATTTGCAAATTTTTCAAGTACATATCGAATAATTAACGAAATACAAATATAATTAGAACCTGTAAAATTTTATAGATATAACAAAATCATGAGTAATAGCCATGATGTGATTAAGATTAATTTGTCACACATGTTTAAATCGAAAACTAATCTACGGTTAAAAAAATTTTTTTAAATATTCAATTATTGCTTTTGGTGAAATGTGTTCAACTTCAACAAAAATAACGAGTATAAATCTTTTCCTAATAAAAACAGTTTCTTCACGGACACAAAAATACTTAAAATAGATAAAAAGCTACAACCATGATTTCATATAAGTGAATGCCTAAAAAGTTTATAAGCCGAATTATTATTAAACTGATTTGGAAAACTTAGTCATATTTTGCATAATAATTACCTACTATTGCAGTTTACAACAACAACAAAATTAAACATAATTTTTTTCATCTGAATTTGTTTTTTTAAATTTAGTTCTGGCAGTACTGGTACTTTATCATCTCAAGAGAGAACCCTGACGAAACAAAAAAGAAGCCAAGGATCATTGGGGGGTTCTCAGTCGAGACTCGCTGACTTTGCCAATTGAGAGCCTCGATGGCTCAGTGAAGTGCATATGACTCAGTACATTAATTTAATTTGCTTGTTAATATTGATATGTTCTTCATGTTAATTAAACGTAAATACACCCTTTTTTAAACAATTTTATGCCTTAAAACATTAAATTAAGTTTTTACAATTCTTAATTTTTATGATTTCTATGAAGAATTTAGAAGAATTTTTATATAAATATTTTTTTAATTTTGTTCTTTGTTGAAAAACTATTCTTTCTTTCTCTTTTTATATTTTACGGCTTTGCAACTCACAAAATGGTGCTGAAATGTGCCTTCTTTGTATATGAATGATTGATTTTCTTTTTCTTTTTTTCTCTCTCTTTTTTCATTATTTTAAAAAAATGGTACATCCTCAAAACCAAGCAACGTCGAACCACAAATGAAGAACCTGAGAAGGAGCCGCTGACCGAAGTGAAAGTTAATCAATTCAGTCCTATTAATATTAGCTAAAACCATGTTATCTGACCTGTCGGATAACAGATTTAACAGCAACATTGCGGAAAAAATTATTCCACTGTATAGAAAATGATTTTGAATGTATACTTAAAATAAATAGGTTTTATCACGGGACTATAACAGGGGTCGGCGTATCAATGATTGATTCCGGTAGCTTAATGGAACAAAGATATACCAAATTAACCCTTAAAATTCTCGGAGATGTTTTTATAACCTGCAAGGCCTGTATAATTTATTCTGTATAAATGGGCTACAGCATGCTACAAAAATTTGTCAAATGGATAATCTTTTTACTAGAGACGCACCGAACGTACGATCTGGGTGAATATTCGGCAAATTTTAAGTTCGGCTTCGGAGTAAATGACATATAGGGAGTAAAATGAAACGTTTGACCTGATCTGAACGTTGATCTGGAAGCAGTTACGCTGCATTTTTACAATGTAAACGACCGTCCGCTGGAGTCAATTAATCAATATCAATTGTAATAATTTACTGGTATGCATTTAAAAAAAACTGTAGATGTCTCAAACATTTTAATTGTTCTTACATAATTCGTATTTCAAATATGTACGTGAAATATTTCTATCACGTCAGAATTTTTTACAAATTCAATTTTAACATTTTTATTTTTACTGATTTTTAACATTCTATCTTCACGATTATTTAAAAAATAATTTGTTCAAAATAATAATTAGTTAATTTTTTACAAAAAATTAATAAAATGTAGAGTACATAAAGCATAAAACCTCAAATTAAAGAAAAAACTTCTTGATTTTCTTCCAAATTTTTTAGCCGTAAAATTCTCTCTTTTTAGCATCCAATAGTCCGCCATCATGTTAACATTCCATCGTTATTGATATCTGATTTTCATTGTTTTAATGTCTTGGTGAAACCTTTCACCAATTTCTTCACTATAATCACCTAGACTTTCCTAAAAATAATCCAAATGTGGAAATAAAAAGTGAATTTTAAAACTCATTCAACATCCTAATTTTTGAAATGCAAAAAGCATTTCATTAACAATTACCTCGTGGTTTGTTGCTCTCTTGTTCCCAAGAAATTCGTGCACCACAGCTCTATAACTGTTCCATGCATTCAATTCCAATTAATAAATTACTTTAATAAATTAGTTATCTTTCATGAGCATTCTGATATTTGGACTATCGAAGATCCCAGACTTCAGTTTCTCATTACTGATTTTTGCAAATTTGGAACAAATATATGCAAAACTCTTACTTTCTTTGTCCAACGCTTTCAAAAACTGCTTCATCAATTCAAGTTTAATATGAAAAGGAGGCAGGAAAATTTTATTTGGTTCAATTAACTTAGGAAATTTAATTTTTTTATACTTGGCTGAAAATTTGTTCGTGATGGCCAAAACTTTTGTCCCAGTGATCTTTATCTGCCCTGCTATCTCACTCATATAAAAAAAAACATGGAAGTTTAGTATAGCCTCCTTGCCGGCCTAGTAGAATTCTAATTATTTTGAGATCACAACATATTAACCACTTATGATCTTCGAACTTGATGTTTTGAAGAAGCACCGCCATGCTGTCATAAGTTTCTTTCAATTGAATAGAATATGCAATTGGCACAGATGCATAAATATTTCCGTTATGCAAAAGAACTGCTTTGAGACTTCGTTTGGAAGAGTCAATAAAAATTGGCATCATACACAGTAGCGCAACTAGGGGGGAGGCTTTGGGGACAATTGCCACCCCCCAAAATATAAAAAAATTATTAAAAGATTCGGTCAAGGGTCAAGAATTAGTTTGAAATATATGTAATATGAGTTTATTGAAAACAACGGTTTTTGCAACTATCACAAACGTTCGTTTGTTGTAATTATAAAGATAAATATTCTTGGTAGGTTGGGTAAGTATAATATAGTTAGTATTGTTTGATTATCTTTCATAATTTTCAAGATGCAAGTAACACTGAAAAACATATAAAATACAAATTATTCACACTGAAGCTTTTGAAAACCTACCCAAGATCATAAACGTAAATATCAGCCGTATCATCAGAATCAGAACTGTGTAAAAATTTCAGAAGATTTTTTGAGGCATTATGAGCAAAGGTCTAGTGGTATTGAAAAGCAATTGCATAGTGGATGGCACAAGCAGATTGAAGTAAACCGCAGACGGTTAATACCTATTGTAGAAACAATGCATCATTGTGGAAAGCAAGAAATTGCTCTATGTGGTCATCGCGATTCAGGACCACTTTCCACCGAAGAACCAGATGAGAACGATAGAAATTTCAGAGCATGCCTAAGGCTACGTTTATTAGCTGGCGATGAAAATCTAAAATGGCATCTGCAAACAACTCCAAGTTCACAAACCTATCTAAGTTGGAGGATACAAAATGAAATTATAGCAGCAACTCATTATTTAATGAAAAATGTTGTAAATAACGTCAATGCTGCTGGATTCTTTTCTGTGCTCTGTGATAGAACTACTGATTTTTTTATTGAAGAACAGATGACAATTATTTTAAGATTTGTTAAAGATGACTGTTTTGGTTTTCAAGAAGTTCAAAATACCACAGGTGAAGGCATTGCTAAGATTTTGATTGAAACATTGAAAGAAGCAGGGATTGATATTGAAAAGATGAGAGGTCAAGGATATGACGGATGAAGTTCAATGGCAGGAAAAATAAATAGAGTGCATGCAAGCCCATGTTAGAAACATGTACCCAAAAGCCCTGTACACACTTTGTGCATCCCATGTAATAGAACATGCATCCAAAATTCAAGAAATCACAAATCGTATAAGTACAATCAAGCAGACAATTAACTTTATCAAAATAATCAAAGAAATTATAAACAAAGATATTAATCAATATCTTTGTGTATATCTGCTCGTTTCAATAAGTTAATTTTACCTATTTCAAAAGCTCTTCAGAATCCGCATATAGATACTCTTTAGTGTATTGAACCAATTTTTGACATGGGGCTAATTTTGAACAATTATCGACAAAATGACAATAATGACTTTCACAACATTTTTGTGAAAGCTGAAAATGTACTATTGTTCGAAATTATACCTGGTCTGGAAAATTAACTTGTCTTGTTTTCGAATGGGTGTTCGTTAAGTTGTGTCTTATGCTGCTACATGAGTATTTTATTTGTATAAGTACAATCAAGCAGACAATTAACTTTATCAAAATAATCAAAGAAATTATAAACAAAGATATGAATCAATATCTTTGTGTATATCTGCTCGTTTCAATAAGTTAATTTTACCTATTTCAAAAGCTCTTCAGAATCCGCATATAGATACTCTTTAGTGTATTGAACCAATTTTTGACATGGGGCTAATTTTGAACAATTATCGACAAAATGACAATAATGACTTTCACAACATTTTTGTGAAAGCTGAAAATGTACTATTGTTCGAAATTATACCTGGTCTGGAAAATTAACTTGTCTTGTTTTCGAATGGGTGTTCGTTAAGTTGTGTCTTATGCTGCTACATGAGTATTTTATTTGCTAACCCTAACCCCCCCCCCCCCCCCCCCCTGAAAGATTGGTCTAGTTGCGCCACTGATCAAGCATAACTCCCAACTCAGCAATTAATCTAAATATATTTGAACAATTACAAGAGAATCAACTTTTGAAAAAAATTTTATAAATTCTGCTTCACGATTTCTATACCATAAAAAATTGTTTCAAGTTCTAGTTAATTCTTTGCCTTTAAACGTGATCCCAGTAACTCTGATGAAATTTTTGATAAATTCAAATCTCGAACAAGGTCGTTTAATTTAGCCTGAGAAAATGCTCCTCTAGAATCTGAATTGCTAAGCGAAAAATTGTCTTTATCAGTTTCAACAACATCGTCGTAACTTGATTCATCATTTGGCAAAACTTCTGCTATGTCAATTGGTATCGGAACAGGACTGTCATCTCCATGAGGTACTGGTCTCAATGCTGAAGACAAATTAGGATGTGATAAATCTTTTTTATTCTTGTTGTTAAAACCTTTGGTGTTTACCATGCATAAGTAACAATAGTCTGTGTGACTTTTGGGTTTTCGCCACGTCATTGGAACTCCAAAATTTAAAGAATTTTTCAAACCTCTGCTTCAACTTCTTAGTCCTTCTACACATGTCCTGCATACAACATGAGGTGCCCATGGTTTATCTTCATCACCTAATTTTATTTTAAAATATGTACGATAAATTTTTTTCACAAATCCATTGATGAACTGCACAAATATTGGAAAATGAATTTGGAGAATTCAAACAACATCTTTTGGAATTCGAGCTAGTAGCCATGTTAAATCAAATGAATTAAAATGAATAAAATTTCAATACTAAATAATGAGTTTATTTTAATTAAATGGGCAGGCCTAGATTTTGATGATATAAGCAATTTCATATACATATGTGTGTGTCTGTGTGTATACAATGTTGTTCATGTGAGTAATGAATATATACACAGATACATGCACATATATATTGGATTATCATTATATCATTGAAATATCAGACGTTATCTTGATTATGTCATGTATTTCAGTTGATGTTTTAAACCATTTTTTTAGAATTATGAAAAAACTGTACGTGATAGAAAAAAAATGGATTACATATTTGAAATCAGCACATTGAAATCTATAAGAAACAATTTCATTTTTGAAACATATGGTATCCTGCATACCAGTGTATTATAATTATATAATTATAATTCTAACATCATTTCTTCTCTTGCTTCCAATAGGGCTTAAAGACCAATTCCAATTTTAAATTCCTACAGCAACACATATTAATATTAATAGAATTAAAAATAGAATGTCTTAAAATGAAAGCAGGAAAAAATATCAAATTCCAGAAGATATACAATACCCTCAATTTATTTTATAAAAATGAAAACATAGTAAGCCTCATATCATACATAAACATTTTCAACAAATTCTAATTGCCACGTTTTTCAAAAGATTCACAACAAAGAAAAGACCAAAGGCGTACCAACTAAACCCGTAAACGGTAAACCGTGTAATAATCTATCAGCGCTAAAACGCCGTAAAATTGCAGAAGAAAAAAAAATTCCATGGACTTACTTCTGTTGCTAAACACTTGATAATAATAATTAATAACATGCTATCAAGTCGCAACGTCATGGCAAATGTAATAAATAAATAACAATTTAAAAAAAATTAATTCATAGCTTGACGTCATTGTATCAAACAATATTTTGTTTACATTTATTATTTTTAAAAATTCACTTTTCAACTGTAAACATGTAAAAGTGGGTTGGGTTTAACGGCCTGTTCTTCTGCAAAACTCGGTAGGTGAAATGTTTTTAGGCTTTTTTTTTTATAATCTTATGATCTTTCTTTGCATAATGTGTATAACTAATTTTCGTAATTCTCAAAAACCACATCTCAGCAGCGTTAATCTTTTTACTGATAACCATGCACTCTGTTTTGTTGATATTAATTTGCAAGCTTTTCCTTTTACTTTCAAAAACCAGTTTGGAAACAATTATTTGCAGTTTTTCCATTGAATCTGCTATAAGAGCTTATATTACATTCTTAATATTCACGCCTCCAATGGATATTCCAGGTAGGGTGTTGCTTTTATATTATATATTCATAATTTATTTATTGTATAATAATAGTCAGTGTAATGTTAGGTTAGTCATGAGGTTAAAATTAGATGAGTTAATACTTAAGTAAGTTAAAACTTAATCTTATTAAACAATTGAAGATTTAACATTTAAAAAAGACAAATTCAACTTTAGTATTAGTAATATTAGTTATTATAAATTTTCTAATAAATACCAAACGCTTCAAATTTGAATCAACTACCTACACAGATGATGGTAAATGTTACCAAAAAATTTTTTATTTGGGTAGAATGTGAATTATAAAAGGGAAATGAATGTACTAAAAGCAAAATCTGTAAGGAACCTGATTAAATTTTAAAGATGAAAAAATAATAAATAACGATATGATAAATAACTTTTATTTATTAATAACCTGGGAAACATTGTTATTTCTTAATTTTCTAAGTTACTGTATGATTTAACCATGACAATTTTTAAGATTTCAATCTCCTTTGAATGTTGGAAGCAACACTTTATGGGTAACAAATGGTGCTTATTGATAACGTCTTAGAAAGTTTCAACCATTTTTTTATAATAAAATTCCTCCAAATTTGCTAAGAGGAAGCAATTGCCACTTCTGTAGATGCCCCTGGATAAACCATAATTAAAGAGATAAATTTTTGATAACAAGAAAACACAAATTTTAAGAAAAAATTTGTCTGATGTTTTAGCACCTGGATGTGAAAGATTATGGAAACTGTCAAACATGGCTTTTCCCAAATTTTCATGTATACATAGGCTGGGACATGGTGTTGATATATCACAAAATATTTTTCAGTCATCTTTGATTGGGTATTGTTTTAACATTTTGATTCCTATACTTTTGTCCAAAAATGATTATAAATTTATAAATACTATTAGAAGGAAAAATAATAAACAATAAACATTTAGATGAAAATGGAAAATGATTTGTACAAATAAGCATAGATATTGAAGTTTTTAAAAACAAAGTTTTGATAAATAATGGCAGGACACCCCAATGAGGTGTAGATAATAAAAAAAAATTTTAAAAAAATCAGTCTAAGTAGAGTCAGTAGTGTATTACCGTACTATGGCTGACTTTACGCTCAAGAAGTGGTAGAGGATTTCAAAAAGAAGGTGGAAGAAGAGAGCAAAGTTGTTTAAAAAAAGCTTTGAATGAGAGAAAAAAGTTGCTGGTACTGGAAGAAGATATGGAAAAAGAAGGTCGTAGGAATAACATCTTGATATTTAGAGCAGCAGAAGAGGTCAGCACAAATAGATGATAGAAGAAGTTATGACAAAAAATTTGTAAGTGAGCTGCTCAATGATGTGCTTCATCAGAGGAAGAGATTAAAAGACTAATCAGAATAGGTCAGAAAGACATGAAAGATAAAGGCATCACAGGGGACCGACCCATACTAATTGAATTTAAAACTCACACAGTAAAAAATAGAGTTTTGGAGTCATTAGGAAGTCTGAAAAGTGCAAAATATGAATTCAAAAATATATATGTAGCACAGGAATGACCAAATCAGAAAAAGACTATTGTAGAAAAACAGTAGAAGCATCCTGGCCAAATGAAAGTCGTAAAGCTGAATGTTCAAAACTAATCAGCAATACAAATTATTCTGAAAACAATCAAGATAAAGGAAAAATGGAGATTTTGTATACAAATGCAGATAGTTTTTTAAACAAAAAAGGCAGAATTAAACAGTTCAATATTTACATTTGAAAAAAATTACTGCAATAACAGATAGTTAATAAAAATAAAAAAATCCGACTCCGACTCTGGCCCCTCAAAAAAATCCGGCTCTGACTCCGGATAAAAATCTCTGACTCCTGGTTCCGAATTCCAGAAAAATTTTTAAACTCTCTAGTAAAATTTCTTTTTTTATGTTTTAACACATACTGGAAAAAATGTTCAACTTTTTCATCATAATTTCACCTTATTATCACTACTATATAAAAAATACTTCAAAAAACACTTAAAATCAGTGTCTATCGGTCATGGAAACAAAAAAAATGTCCATAGGTACCTGACATAAAAATTAGAAAAAAGTTATAAGTAACGAAAACGTAAGCAATTCTGCATTTGACAGAGCTGCATTATAACGAACAATAAAATGTGAAAAAACATGCGCAAAAAATATTGTCCGGTCAGTGAAGGTATTGGATGACATTTTTTGATCATGTACAACTTCCGATAGATAATCGTTCCATAAAAACCAACAGAAGTAAACCAATCAAGTACCGCATCACATTGCCAATGCCGAATGAAACTGATCGTTTGTGATCAACAGCGTGGAATCCAAAAGACTCAGTAAAATTGCTTTGCAACAGTCAACATGTCGCCAGTTGTAATGACGCCAAAAATTTTAATCAGTTTCAGCAGCAGTACTGGCTGAACTGGTGGCCGCAATTTATTAGAAGATATGCAACTAAACAGAAGAATCAGCTTTTAAAACAAAATTGAATGAATGAAAAATGAAAACAAAATGGCCGACTTGAGAACCCCGTGACGATTTTTCAAACCTGAACGATATTTTAATCCAAAGACAGAAAAATGGCCTTTAGTCTAAAAACTTTACCATAACCGAGGTTGGAACCGATTTTATCTTATTAGCAGTGAATTTGACAAACTTCAGTATTTTGCCTCTTAGATTAACCGCAAATATTTTAATATAAAGCCTATATATATGATTGACGAACATGTAATGCGATATTTTTCTTCTTTTAGCCACGTTCTTTTGTACTTTTACCCGTTGTTAGAGATAGCTATATCATTTACCATCATGTTTCATTCATTTAAAAAAAATCGGTTTCCATTACCTTTTGAATTTTTGAAATTAAATTAATTAATAAGTTTTTGTTCCCATTTTACCCCTAGTTCTTGTAACTATATTATTTATTTTATTCTTTTTTGAAAAATCAGAATCTGACAAACGCAGAAACTGTTACAGCATGCACGTCAAAAGTATAAAATGATAACGAAAAATAAATAATGGAGATAAAATGTTTAAGCATGAAAAATATGAATAATAAAATATAATAATGTTTTAAAAGGGCAAACAAATAAAATAATTTATTAATAGACTAGTTAATGACTTATTAAGTTAGTTATATGATCGATAAGAAAAAAGAAAACTAAATTGAGTAAATGATAAAGTTTTATTGTTTATCATTTCTTCATACTTTTGATTTTTTTATTATTATTGAAATTTAAAAATTTTTTTAAGAATTTCTAATTTGCCAAATGAACTTTTTTTGACCCTAAACAGTGTATTATGGAGTCTGAATGCATATGCTTCACTATACCTGACGAGCTTACAAGTTTGACCTTAATCGTGGAATGTCAACGGTTGTATGTTCACAAAGAAGTTTTGGCAGCTTGGTCGCCCGTTTTTAAATCCATGTTCACTAAAAATTTCAAGGAAAAAGAGTTAAATGAGATTGAGCTGCCCGGAAAAAAAGTAGATGATTTTATTGAATTGTTACACTGCATGTACCCGCCAATTAAACAGATATCAGGTTATTGCTAGGCTGGTGGTTAAACTTTCTATTTAATAAAAGCAATCCTTTTCAAATATATACTTTTTGTGTGTCGCTATATTTTAATAAATAATAAATCTTAATCATCTGAAGTATCTATTTATCCTTTTTTTCTTTCAATATTTAAAATTGTCTGTACTTATGATTCTCTTATTCAAGTTTTAAATAAAGTTGTTGTTCGACCCATTTATAAGCAATTGTAATTGACCCACAAATATTTTTGCTATAGTCCACAAAGCTGTTAAAATTTATATGTTTTTATTTTTGATTGAATGTGTTTTTAAATGAAAATGATTGTTAAACAAAATGAGCCTTAAACGACATGAGTTTAATGAAATGAATTAGATAAAATGATAGTCATTCTTAATTTTATAATAGAAAAATTGTGCCTGTATGAAATGACAAACAAACGTTAGAAGCAACAAATCAAAAGGAAATGATCTTAGACAACGTGACAGAGAGCTCATAAATTTTGGATAGTGCCGTTAACGTAAAGAACGATAAATGAAGCTTTGTTCAATATGGAAAAATCATACATGTATATCAACATATTCTTTAAGTAATGATACATTTCTTCATGTCATGACACGACATGCGATCACCGATTTGTATTTGAACTATTGAACGAGGCGAAATTTATACGTCGAAAATTTAATCCATAACATATATTGTGTTAAGTGTTCAGTTGGTCTTTAGAAAGTTGCAGAAATTAGTCCTGCGCCTTGATTTATAGAAACTATCATAATGACTTTGCACTATGTAGAACCTAACATAGGTTCATGGTAAAAATTTTTTCAAAAAATGTGACAAAAAACCACAAAAAAGCTCACAGGATGTAAGGAACAGGAAGTCGAAAAATAAAATACTTGTCATGATAAGATTGCATAAATCCCTTATGAGACTACACAAAAATCTGGTTTTTCTATTTTCAAAAAATGAGGATTTTTTTGAAAATGTTCAGCAGAGCCACAAAACAGATAACTATGGGTATTAAGAGAAACGGATTTATAAAACTAAAACTGAGAAGGGCAAACGGTGACTTGATTCAGATTTATTGGCTTATGAATCGAAAGGAAGTGTGTACGTTAAAGATTTTTCTGTAATTGTTATTGTACTTTAGCAAGAAAAATTAAATCATGGAAAAACAGGTGGAATGGAGCTACGTTTCTGAACACATTGACTAAAGCAACGGAAATGATGCCGATGTTTTAAAGCATTTTACAAATTTTTGTAATGTTAAACCGGTTGAACAGTTTAATGGCGCTCGTGAAGCGAATAATTCAATTAAAATATAAGTTTGACTAATTAATTAAATTAAAGTAAAGTTTTTTGATAATGAAACAATCGAAAATTCCAAAAGTTTTCATTTGAACATTACATTTCATACAAATTATTGTCTTTTTTGTTAAAGATGCTAACGTATACCAATTATTACCTCTGGCGGAAGAGTATCAAATATCTGAAGTGAAAAAACGATGTGAAGACTTTTTGCTCACCAAGCCTGGTTGCATGGGATTATTAGTCACAGGACAGCTGTATAACTTGCCTCAACTCATTTCCAAGTCAGTTTTAGGGCATTTGTTTAAATAAATTTTTTGAAAGAATCATTTGGTTGTCATCTTATATTATTATCTTAATGCTTATTGTTTATTAAAGACATAAAAGTAAAAGAAAATCACTTGTGACAGTGTCTTAACCAGGGCATCGAACCTGAACTAAATCGTAACCGAAAACCGTTAAAAATCGAAATTTTGCTCGGAACAAAAACCGAACCGAAATATTGTATGCTAGTTTAGCCGAAATCGAAAACCGTAACGAAATAAATAACAGTTCGATGCTAAAAATTTAAAAGAAAATATTTTTGTCAAATTCAGAAAATAAATATTTAGATAATATTTCGTCGTTTGAAATTCTATGTTAATCTTTATTATCTTTGAAATTTTTTTATATTTCTTTTCGTTTGTTTTTCCGACTGAGTTCGCCGATAATTTGGGTAAAAATTTCCACGTGAAGAGTAATCCAATATAATCGGAGAAATTAGAGATCAAGTGCGATCATCTTCAAAATTTTGAAGTACCAGCTACACAAGTGAGCCTGGAAAGATCTGTTTTTGGATTAAAATTTATCTTCAGAAACTGCAAAAGTGGTTTTAATAAAAACATTTTAGAAGATATATTAATAATCAGAGGAAATTTTCATCTTTTTTAAAACAACCATATATTTATATTAGTGATTTCTAAATATCTTTGTAATAATTGTTTTAATTTGTTGAAAAAAAATATTAGAAACGTTTCCTTTTATACTGAAAACATTTAAAAATAATTTTTGTTATTGATTTCTTATTATTCACAATCTAAAATTTAATTCAGATTGGCATTGTGGTGATAGTTGGATGTCCGTATGTCCGTTACATGCGTTTAAGGAACTATGCTTGAAAAAATTAAGTTTCGGAGCGAAACCGAAAACTGAAAAAAAACGATATCATTTCAGGAACGAAAAACGGAACCGAACCGAAATTCGTTTGGCTGATTGAACCGAAACCGAAACGAAAAAAATTGCGGTTCGATGCCCTGGCCTTAACTATAATTTTGTCCCACAATGTTTACATGATGTTGACTTTGATGACAAAATTCTTCATATAGATACACGTAGACACGCACACATACACATAATTACAAATAATGGTAAAAAATTTCAAAAAATAAAAAATCATACAGAAACGTAAACAGACATTCAATCAAGCGAGCAATTAACGAAACTTAAACAATCAGCATACAAATAAAAGTGCCCGGTTGGATGGTTCATCAGTAGAAGGATTCAGAGGGGTTTATAGGTACTAGCAAAAATTTTAAGATTTTTTTTAAACAATATTAGATTGTTTATGTTTCTTATGTTATGGGGAATTATATTGTTCCAGATTTTAGGAGCGGTATGAGATAGACTATTGTTGATTAAGTTTAGATGTTGTAATGTAAAAAGTATTAATTATTTTGTCTAGTCTAGTGATAACTAATTTAATTGGATTTGAATATTCGAGGAATGCTGAGGAATATGGAAGCAAATTTTTTTTTATAAATTTAAGTGTAAATATGGTTTGGTCTTACAAACTCCGTTAAGTAATAAGTTACGAACGGAGTGTCGGAGTCGGATTTTATGTAGTGGCCGGAAAATGTTATTTGTTTAAAAAAAAATTTATTTTATTTCCTGAAAATTTTTTCTAAGATTGTATTTTTCAGAGATTAAATATATAAATATATGTAGTGAATAATGTGAATTAATGAAATCACGGAGTTGTGAGTTGGAAATTTTTATCCTGGCTACAAATGCTCTTCTGGTCACAGAACAATGTAATGCGTCAGGCTGGGAGATCATTATCTAAAATGATAGCTCTGGTATGAAAAGTCATAATGATCTTTCTGGAAATGTTATTATTGTGGAAATAATTATATTGTAGGAATAACACTTAGTTTAATACGTTATAAACACGCTATAAATAAGCATACGTTAGTGAGTTTAACTCAGACTATAAAGTTGCTCTGTCTCGCGTTGTTTTTTTTTTCGAAATCTGTTTGTATTTGGACGGCAATGTGCGTGAACAGCGTATGATGCGACGATTGCGTGTACATAAAAACTACAAAAATTGTAAGCTTGTTTATAAATATGAAAATATTTATAATAATGCTTTTTATGAACAAATAGTGTCTGAAGTTTTTCAAAAACTAAAATATCTTGAGTTGAGACAACATTTTTTTCCGTTGGCAGGGCTCAGAGAATGTTGATCGTCCATTACGTCGTTCGAACATACTCGGGTCCTGAACTATCTCTGGTAGTTACATCGATTAAATATTCAGCATCAGGACACTGTCGAAATGATGTAGATGGGCGCAAGACATCGAATCGACTTAGTTCTGCTTTTTCTTAAAAGCAAAATGTTGAGGTTCAGTGTTGATCAATCTCAAATGGTCATACAGTTATACTGGTTGTTGTGCATCTTGCTACGTTATTAGCATGAAATATTTTTCGTCTCGAAAAATTTTCCTCGCAGTTTTCTTTGAATCACTGCAGAGCTTATAACTGTTACGGTTGCGTTTGATGTTTGAGAACACCGAACCAAGAATAGCAGTGAGCGGGAGAAGAAAAGAACAGTATTCGTTTGGTTAGGCTGGACACGTGGTTTCGTCAATACCGGGAACTCATCAGCAGCCCGAATACCTATCGGAATAGTTATCGCAGTTTCTTATAAAGCCCGCACAAATCACCTCGCTAGCTCATGGTGTTTTATTTATTTGTTTTTTAGTCGCTAGGATTTTCAATCTGACATAACCAATTACAATCTTTGATGAGAATGTTCTCATTAGAATTTGCGAAAGACGGTTTGAACGTTTTTAATTTAGAATCGCTATAAAGTCATTATTATTGCTGCGCTTGTATTATCGCGTTCGATGGCAGATTCAGGCACCTTCAACCATCACACTAACTCGCTGCCCATATTTTGGCGATATGTGACTTCTTACAATCATTTGAGTAAAAGGCTTTTATCGGTTCACTATATTTATACAGTTAAAGTTAATTTTTTTAATCTAAAATATATAATATATTATTTGTTAGGAAAGGTTCGCGTCAAATACTGTTACCATCAATTAATGAGATAGTTAAAGTAACTCGTTAAAGTGGTTGGAAAGATGTTGTACACGGAGTTGAAGTTAAAACTTTCAATCGTTAGGATTTTGTGAGCACCTGTGTGCTAGTTTTATTTTTCTATTATACAATACAGGGTTTGAGGTTAAGCAATGTTACTGTTTAGTTTTCTCTCTCAGGTTCTTTTTCTTGCTGATTTTTATATCTCTCCAGAGATTCGTATGTCTTTGACTTTTAATTAATTTATTCAATAGTAAAATTATCTTAACTTTTCGTGGTATTAACTCTATACAAATCATTAACCAGTGATGGAAAAAGAATCTATAGTTAGGTTAAAAAGTAAAATCTGCGTTCACTGATGCAATTTTGAAATTTTTTTTCTCTAAAGATTTTTTTCAAATAGTCACCTAGAAATTTAATTTCCACGAAGAATTGATGAATTACTTTCATTTGTAAAATCAGATGCATCGACGCCGTGAGGTGCAAGAGTTTCACGGAACTGCAGAAAGATCCCTTCTATGATAAATTGCATTCTGAAAACCTCATTAACATATTGCAACTGCGGGTTTTAGATCTTGAAGCTGCCGCCGAGCAGAACAAGTGAAATGTTTTGTTTTATTTTGATAAATATTTATTTTATTGAAAAATTATTATGATTATACTTGATTTTTCACAATCATTAACAATCTTTTAAAATAAATAATAATTAGTAAATCGTTTTTTGGATAAACTTGTTTTTTTGCTAAATTAAATAATGGTTTATTTAATGGTTTCATGTGTGATTTGAAAGCATTTAGTTGTTCAGCAACAAATATTTTATTAGTTTTAGAAATCACTTGAGATTAAATGGTACTGGTTTCATGAAAAATAATACTACTTTTCCAAGAAATTTCACAACATCTCTAAAATATTTTACAACATATCGTAATTATTTTACAACATTTCTAAATCGTTTGTAACATTTATCATTAAACATATTTTATTTGTTTTATTAGAAATATAACGAACTCTGGGTTCAGGGGTTGGTTAACAAAGGTTATAAAATATTTTGAAGATTAGGGTCTCGTGACCGAATGGTTAGCGTGTCCGTCTACTACTCCCACGACCCTGGTTCGAATCCTGCAGTTTCTACGTAACTTGTCGTATGTTGGCCGGCGATATGGCTCAGTGGTTCAAATGCGCGCTGAGTCAAACATCTCAATGGCTATCATATACTCAGTGTATATGATTCGGTGCTTGCATGTGCCCATAAATGTGTACGTCGTGTGAAAAGGATAAACAGCCTTTGTGGCGAAGATGGCTGCTTCAAATCATCGGATGAAGATATGAAGAACATAAAGATATATTGATAATATATATGTAACATTGTAAGTGGTTCTGCGTTTGTCAGCTGCAAATATTAAAGACTACAAGAAATATTTTAGAAACACTGTAAAATATTTTGAAGATGTTGTAAAATTTCTTGGATAAGTTTTAATATTTCTCGTAAAGCCGGTATATATAAAAGTATATTTATATATATATTTTGTTGTAAAGCAATTGCCTTCCAAACAATTTGATTAAAACTTTCGAATATGGAAAAAATGATTTGTGCAAATATTTTGTAAGGAATGCGATGGAGCATGCGCACACGCAGTACTTTAAGATGAATTTTTGTTGGTTGCATTTACATCAGGCTTCGAACATTACCTACATCCCGAAAGTTCATGTTCACCGTTGAACTTTTAGGAACGCATTCGGTTTACACAACAAATGGAATAACGGCATTCAATCGACATGTCAGAAACTCCGGATTATGGAAAATTTCTGGTGGATAAAGAAGGCTGAAAATTTGCATGGATGGTTGATATTGGTGATGTGTAAAAGATGTGAGTGAATGAAATAGAATGTTGGGCAGGTTCTTAAAAGGATTGGATTGTTTGTAGAACCTCTGTCCCTCAACTTTCCTTCCTTGTTACAAATGCTTTGCGAATAACTAGAGAAGCTGAATTTAACTTAATGGCGTCTTTGAAAAGGCGTCGGTTCCGTTTTGATCGTACCTAGGTAGATCTCAGTAGAAAATAATTATCGTCTGGTTCATCGCAGAAAATTTTTATATCCATTTTTATTTCACAACAGTACTAAGTAAAAAGGGTGGGGAATGGAGGATGAGATGTATGTAGTTATGGGACTGGTCGGATGTGATTCATTCAGATATGATTGATAAAACATGCAATGGTTTTTGTAAATTTTTCCAGATGTTAATTTTTTAATTAATGCAATTTTTCGGCTATTGAAACACGTATGAATTTTTCACAAATATTAGCTGCAACACGTAGTTTAATTCATTTCATGTTAAAATGTGGTTAGGTTACGATATTAGTAAAATTTAAAATAGCTAAATAGTTATAGCAATTAAACTAAATTTGTATTCAGTAACTCCAGATAGTTTACGGAACAGAAACGTAATGCATGTTTGATATTTAAACACAAATAAGTGAAGTTATTGTCTTGATTGAGAAATGCTAATCATCCTTCAAATAAACGAACAGATTGTGTTGAAATATTGAACGCTTGAATAAATTAAATTTAGTATAACTAACTGAAAATAATAAATGGAAACAAATTTTTTTCCTTTACAATTATTTTCAATTTTTATTTTAAATTATGTCATCGATTTTTTTCCGTAATTTGTTCCTAGTTCGTGGTCCTGAACAACTGATGTGAAAAATTGAAAATTTTTTCTCCCTTTTCAATGCACGACATCTTGCTCCGGCTTTTTTCTCATACCTCGTTATATTTAAAATAATTTTCAAGAGCAGATGGGAGGTTTATGTAGTTGCTTGGAAACAAAATGTCGTTAGGTAGGCAGAAATTTGTTCCGGGAAGGGTTTGAATTTTTAGAAAAATGTTAATGATTTTTTTTTTGCTTATTTTACCACTTTTATAAGAAATTTTTATTAACTTTCATTAATAAGCTTATTTTATACAAATGTTAATGGTGTGGGGATGTGCTAGATTTAATGGAAAGTTGGTTTTGATTTTGGTAAAGAGATTTTCAGATTTCCTGCATTTTTGTTATGAGTTGTTAAGTTGACTTAGCCTTGGGTGAAAAAGTTGGAGCCCTCACTAAAATGATGTAATCAACGCGGTGAATGATGGATTTAGATCGGACATAATTGCAATGCATAGTCTGGTCAGGTAGGTAGCAGTTGTGGTAATGAAACATCATTTCGGGATCTTTAAAAATAATATTACTCCTGATTCAAACGTTCAACACACCCTCCTAAGAATTTAGGTAATTGCAAAAGTCTAGTCGGTAAAGGCTTAGGGGACAAAAGACACTGGCTACCTACACTACAATAATTCGAGCGGAAGGTTTAGCAAGTGCAGAACGAACAGGCGCACGTAACTTATAAGAACGCTGCTTATTTCATTAAGAAGCGCTGTTTAAAATCGCGACAACGGTGGTCTCGAAATAAATTGATTGATTGATTGATTAATTGGTTGGTTGGTTGATTGATTGATTGATTGATTGATTGATTGATTGATTGATTGATTGATTGATTGATTGATTGATTGATTGATTGATTGATTGATTGATTGATTGATTGATTGATTGATTGATTGATTGATTGATTGATTGATTGATTGATTGATTGATTGATTGATTGATTGATTGATTGATTGATTGATTGATTGATTGATTGATTGATTGATTGATTGATTGATTGATTGATTGATTGATTGATTGATTGATTGATTGATTGATATAACTAGCAACATTTCTATGCGGTAACATATCAAACGGTAACATAACAAGCGAGTGCAACAGTTGCGTTCTATTGTGAAAAAGACTGAACAGGATTTTAAGTTTTCAATAGTTTCCTCCAGAATTTAGCTTTCAGTTTTTGCTGAATTAAGTTAAATTTATGTTTTGTTTTAGTTCAACAATTTATTTTGTAATATGATTTACCTTCGTTTTTAATATAATTTTAATCAACACTGTTTAATTAGAAACTAGTTAAGATTTTGTTTTAACTAATCTCTCATAATTTTTTGTTTAACGAATTTAAATAATATTATAGAAGGTCGAAGCCATGTGAGAGTTGATCAAAAAAGCTGGTTGGAGAACCACATTGCCTTAATACCTCATTATATCAATATTTTTCCAAAATTTAAATAGAGCTGCCTAAAATTTGAGCAACTGGGAATCGTGAAAAATTACGTTCTAATATTTGAATTACATTAGTAAGTTATACTGTGAAACTTTCCTTAACGCATTGCACGGTTTAGTTAATCGCATAGAATTAGGAAAGTGTTGAAAATATTAGAAGCATTTCTTCGCTGCTGGAGTTTGTCCATTTGAGGCTCGTAATAATTCAAAATTTTAAATCGTCATGTCAGCATTTAAAGGTACTGTTGATGTTTACAATCAATTTTTAATTCAAAAATTAATTTATTCACATAAACAATTGACTTCATCTCTATGGACTAATATAATACTGAAAATATAGAGGTACTTTTGATGTTTACAATCAATTTTTGATTCAATAATTAATTTATTCACATGAACAATTGACTTCATCTCTATGGACTAATATAATTCAAATTAGCTGCTATTGCATTTTGATAAACCTGCCACGGGTTCATCCCGCAGGAGAATATCAACTGAAAGAGATGCTCGGTTGTATGGGATAATCAACGACCTTGCGTCCGGATATGGAAACTTTTGCACCGAATGTAAATCAAGAAAGGTATGTTCTTGTGATTTTGATATTTTTTTTATAGTTTTGATGGAATTTTTTAATTTTGGTATTCATTTCGGATTAGCTTCGATTAGTTTATAATATATTTTAAGGCGAAGTTGAAGTTTTCATGCAAGAAAAGCAAAAAATAGCAGTTTTCCACACTTTGCCATTGTTTAGAGAAAACTGCTGATCGGATTAAAATTGATGAGCTAGGAACTAGATAATACTATATTTTAATATTTCTTTAAATACTACTAAATTAGCAAACATTTAACGCCTATTAAATACGATTTAACAAAATATTTGCGACTGTCATTCAAGAAAAAAGTTTCTCGAGCTTATTGACCGACCAACGCTTTTTTATTTTTCAAAGGAAAGAAGTTTTTTAATGAAGGTCGAATTTCAGATGCATGAAAATTATAGTTTATTTCCGAAATCCTGAAAAAGAGACCGTAATCTGAAAGCGGAAGAACCAGAAAATTTCAAGATAGATTAATTTTTAAAAACCCACCATGAAAAATTAAGCAAATGAACGCAGAGCAATAAAGTCTGAACAAATCTCAAAAAAGGAGACTACATTAGAAAATCAGCTTAAAGGTTAAAGGTCAATTACACTCTTCCAAAGTTTAGAAGATTCAACAAAGCGCACAAACATCATTTATGAATACATGTTAAACGACGCATCACACACGAAGCATGTGATAGACGGGGATCTTTTTGTCATATTCAAACCCGGTTATTGCGAAGCAACACCAGGCGACCTTAACCATTAGACCATCACGCCGCTCAGCTTCAAGAATACACCAGTTTGTACCGAACAGAATGGTAAGATTGACACTAAATCGCTTACCGCAGTATTTAAACATTTTTGGAAACACACAAAAGACTCAACATTTAGATTTTTTGAAGCTTAGAATTTCTGTCAGGACTTTTAATGTTAAAATTGAGCTTTTATAGACCACTCAAGAAATGTTGGCCTAGTTTAATAATTAATTTTTATTCTTTTTTAGGCATCTGAGGCATCTGAATATTTTTTGAATTGTATAAAAATGATTCTACGTCAGGTAAGTGATGGTTGCACAAATTGTCTCAAGATGTTTAGAGACAAAGTCAAATTGAAATGTGATGAGGCAAAAGCGTACAGAAATCAAAATCCTTTGTTCGGTAGTCCGACTATATCCAATTGCAAGCAAGATTGAGATATTGAGGTCAACATTTTAAAAACGTATAAATTTTTAATGCATAAACTCACTCTAAAATTTTATACCTAATCTTATATAAATTTTCATTCTATTTGTAGTAATAAGAATTATTCTCTTTTTTCAATGCATTGTCTTTGCCCTTAACATAATTGCTTTTAGTTATTTTCTATTTGTTGTTAATATTTATTATTTATTGACAAACTGAACAACGCATGAAAATATAGTCGCTTAATAATTATAAACATGGGGTTTCACACTGAATTACTCTGGCCATCGTGTTCTTTCCACTATGAACTTTACTGGAAGCCAGAGCAGCCTTGAAGTTTCGCACTCATTATAAATGGTGAAAGAAACCTCAACTATAACGCTTTTTGGTCAACGTTCCGACAAGTAGTGCTCTTAATTTCTGTGTGTAAATCGGTTATAAACTTTGAATTGAAAGTTATAACAACCTTTAAAAAACATACAAATGACAGTTTTTGTAACGCTTATTTATTACCATTTTAAAAAATTTACCTAGAAATAGAACATGGGTGACCAGCGTGTGGATCGGAAGTTGTACAAATGTTAAATTTTAGAATTCAAATATTAAAATATTTATTAATACAATACTTATGTTTATGAGCTTTTTAAAAGGCGATTGTATCAACACAAACACCATCTTAGTAATTGCCGAGACTGAAATTGTTATAGAAAAATTGTTAATTCCTAATGCTTTTTTTCCAATAAAAATAAATCTCATTCAAAGCTTGTTATAGAAAAATTGTTATTTTTTTTTATTTTTAAAAAATCAGGATGTGACAGACGCACGCAGAAACTGTTACAGCATGCAAGGCAGTAGTACAAAATTAAACAAATTAGTAAATAAATAAATAAATAAAAACGGAGAAAGAAAAATGTTTTAACATGAAAAATAAAATAAATAATAATAATAAAATAAATAAAATAAAATAAATTGACAATAAAATGAAGTAATGACATAAAAACGCAAATTAATAGACTAGATGATGACTTAATGAGTTAGTGAGGTGATCGATAAATAAAAACTAGTTGTGTGAATGATAAAGTTTTATTGAGTGTCAATATGTTTGAGGTGTCTTGTGATGAAAGTCTTTTCCTGATATGTAGATTGTAGATTGGGTGACGACTTGATAGTTATGTTTGCGCTGACGAAGGTTGTGTGTTGTAGTTTTAATTGGTGGTAGTAGAGGATAATATATATATATATATATATATATATATATATATATATATATATATATATATATATATATAATACTTCCTAATACTTTTATTCCAGTACAAATAAATCTCATTCAAAGCTCTATATAGATTGTATTGTGTTACATCGCATTGCAGATTTGTAGTGCGCCTCTATCTTCAGAGGCATTTCAGTATGCCGATGACAGTGAAAAAATATGCCAATCTAACTACCAAAAAGCAGCCGCATTTAAGTTAGTACGGATGAATTCGTTCCGTTGGAATACCTGTAATTGCCATAATTACTGTTACGCTTAAGTAGAGTAGAAAAAAAAAAATTGAAGGGTTTGGCACTAATATACGTAAAAAAATCTAGTTTCAAGCATAAAACCATAAAATTAATTTTAATTGATTGTGTTAATTTTATTTTTTCATTTTAACCGTAAAAAATTCAGCAAGTACAAGTGCGTTGATTTGAATATAATTGTTGTAAATAGTTTAAGAAACATAATTATATTGTTTTATTCTAGCCCGCTTTTATATAAAATTTAGTAGCCTCACAAAACAGAAAATGTGACAAATTTTTATAAAAATTAATGTTTGTTATAATTATTTGAAAAATGTGACAAATTTTTATAAAAATTAATGTTTGTTATAATTATTTGAAAAACGTAGAAAATGCGAAAAATAGTTGTTTTTAAAAAACCACTATACCAATGATCATTTTTCTCATCAACGAAAAAATTCAGCTTCGGTCACTGCAAAATGCCATGCATACATGATATTTCTTGTATGCTGCATCGCATGGCATTGGTATCGCCTCTTCCTCAAAAAAAAGTGCTGTCTTCAGTCCACGTTGTTTGATCAATAGACATTTTCCTCATCATTGATGCATCTCAACTAAACAAAATATGAGTTTCAGACAAGCGACTGGTATTTCGCTTGTCCAAACGAAACAGCGCTTCACCAACCAGGCAGTGTTTAATTAATAGAGTTGTTTAAAAAGGGTTAAAGGTCTTACAAAACTCAGAGGAGACAACCACACAAAAAGCGCTGAAGGACATGTGCTAAACGACGCATCACACCCAAAGCATGTGATAAGTGGGGATATTTGAACCCGATCACTGTACGCACTTCGAAATAGAACTAGGCGCCTTTAACCGACTAGACCATCCTGCCGTTCAGTTTTAAATTTCATCATTTCCGAAGACCTAACAAATGGAGCTCAGCACGTCTATATATAAAACTGAGTTAGACAATGAGACACCAGATTACTATTCTTAATGCTGTATTAAACACTGATTAGACAAAAACTTGCAGAGTTATAATACTCTATTCAAATTTGAAAATTCAGTCTCACTGAAGAAATTGTGCACAAATATTTTAATCGAGTCAATTGTACAAAAGCGTCTGATTGTTTTATTTGATTAAGTCGACGAAAACGTTTTCAGCGAATATTTTATTTTTTAAATGATTTTTCAGTGACAGACACAAAGCATTTCAGTCATTTCAGGTTTATCATTTAGTCCAAGTTTGTTAAATCACATGCATTGGTCTACAATGTTTATTGAGTTTTAAGATATTTTGTTGAGGTTGTTAAATGGATTCTCACCACAAAAATGAAATACTTTTTGCATTTAAAGAGCATTGAAAACGGATATTTCCGCGACCGCACTGTCTGTCGTCTACGAAACAATACAATGACACAATTCCCGGCAAGTTCAGCATAACTGTTTCTTTTTATAAAATTTTTTCGTTTTTAATTGCCTGGTTAGGTAGAAAAACAAGTGTTTACACATATTTAAGAAATTACACAGCGAAAGACAACACGATTTTGCAATATTTTTTCACGATTTGTTGGCGGTGAGAATGACATGTGGTGTAGAAACGGTTTAAAATAACGATGTTAATGTGAGCTTGTCAAGACCGGCAAGACTTTATAATAGTTCAGTCGATGCTGTTTTAACACCATAGAACTTAGCATAGCAGTTGGTAGCAGTAACATTAATTGCGTCTTTATATTGGAAATAATTTCGGCCTATTTTTTTCAATATTTTAGTATATTGAAATTAATTAAAACTAATACGAAATTTTGGTTCAAGCCCTTTAAAATAGTCACACATAATTAATTAAAATCAAATAAATGAATGTAGTGGTATCACATAAACCAGAAAATTACAGCAGATCTATACCAAACATAGAAATGTTAAAAAAAATAAATACCACAAAAATATAAATATCGACGTTTTAATAAATTACCATTGGAGTAAAAATTAAAATAAAGCCATCATAAGGCACGTTGAAGACTGCTCAAGAACAGCGATATACACCATTTATAAAATCTTAATTCATTGAAATATTTTAACAAGAATTCAATAAATAAATATATATTTGTACAATATCAATTCAAAAACTTGTAAAAACTTCAACAACAGCGTGCAAAAAATATGAAAAATATTGAAAGTGGAATGATTAAAACATGTTAAAAACCGATTTTAAGGTAGGAAATGCAATAAGTACAGATATGTCGTAGAGGAAATCTTAAAAAATAACCGTTTAAGTTGGAATTATTGATATATATGACACAATGATCGCAATCAACAACAAATTCAGTAAATTTGTTTGCCCTGAATAAATTAATAAGGTCGACAGAACCAATGAAAACATGTGAAAACCTTCAATGGCACAGAATACGTTGAAACCATAGAAAACCCAATTAAATTTAATTAAAAAACTAAATAAATATAAAACAAAACCAATTTTAAAATGATAATAATTAAAAACCTGATTTAGATAAAATTGATATAGCACCAAACAAACTAAAATAAAAACATATCATACGTAGGTTAATACTCAATTTATAATTAATTATAAATAATCATCAAAATCGTCTTTGGCAATCCCAGCATATTCATAATCTCTTTTGAAAGATCTGCAAAACGTTACAAAAATAAAGCTCAAGGTGGATATGATGCAGCACACCGATGCCAGCACCAACAGATGCGACGCGGAAAGTTTGGCAGAAGTGGCTGTTCGAATAAACAAAATTTTAGACAGTTTATCATAGTATTTTTAATCAGGCGCATGCACCGTTGTTAAATAATTCACTCGTGAATGATTATTTACCTGTATCATTATCACAGTGGTTTGAATGATTGAAATCTCTATCGGAAGAACAGGAAATACATTGATCCTTCAGTGGCCCGTAGCACTCCCGACAGGATTGATGGCAAGGACTGCATGTTGATGCATTCAATATCTCAGTGAAGTTGGATGTGTCCGATGAAACTCTCACCAGGTTCCAATCGGGAAAGTATTGCTGTGGACATTTGTCGTAGCAGGCACCATTCAGCATGTATTCATTCCCCTCACAAACCTCTAGAATTTTAATTAGAATTTTAATTGCATAAAACTTTAAACAGCGGAAAAAGTTACTCAAAAATTGTTTTTCTTCATATTTTCACAATCAATATTTTCGTTCCGCATTTATGTATGCTTGGTTATTGAATTAAACTTTTATGCCACAAAGACTGAATACAATTGTGCACGAGTAGTGCGATAAGTTTCTGAACTGGGCGGTCAGCATCTAATCGAACAACAACGGGACATCGTTCGTCTATTCATCTTGAGTGCTACGATGTTCCGCTCCACACCTCTCCATCAGTCAATTTCCGCAAAGTAAGGAATCTTATTTTATTTTGTACATATCACTTTCCCTTCATAAACTTTTCTTTTTAAAGATTAATAAATCTTACACACACATTTCCAGGACGACGATAATAAAAATGACTCTCAATTTATCAACATAATCCATTGAATATAAAATAGTAATAACTAGTTTATTGAAATAAGCGAAATAAGAGAAAAACATATTAAACATCATTACACAATCAGTCGCATATTCATTAATCAACCGGGTTTTAAATGACAAAAGCATATAAAAAGTTCCAAGTTCTAAATCAAACGCTTGACTTGAGTTAAGATTAAACTTTCTAATTTATTTTTCATGTCACGCGGGCTGGCCTCCATGTTTTTTAGCGTCCATTCTTTCAGTTATACAACTCATCGCTCAACACATAATTCCTTTCATTTCAATATAATCAAAACCACGATGAACCATTCTGCATGTTTAGTTTTATGTTTAACCACACTGCGCATTTAACTGTTTGCGACCACTATTTAAATATGAGCAGGATGAAACCGAGAACAGAGCCTTGCAGCGTAGCACACAAGGCACGTCTTCTTCATCTATTCACAACATCTGTCGTTATGGGAGACAGTATTGAACCTGTTATGAACCTCGATGCAATCTCACCTGGACATTGCACTCGCCATTTAATCCATCCATCTTTCGTTGGACCGTCACTTTTAATTATATGTTTTTCAACCGTCGTTAATATTGGTCTCCATCCTACCACTGCTCATATTTTGTAAGCTTTTTGTAGGCAAAAAATGTTTAGTAAACTGAGAAAAGAACAACAGCTAATTTATTTATTATTTATCAAACATATTCAAATTCGAGTATTGTTGATACTTGATCAATTTAAATTAAAATTCAATAAACTGTATACGATTGCGTTTTAAAGAAAGTAGTTCACAAACTTTTACTGGGTTCAAGAGTTCTACGCTTCGGGACAGAAAGGTCTGGATCAATACTCGTCCCGTGTATTGACAAAACCCAGTTTGTCAATTCGCCTATCGTTAGTTTAAAAAATATTACGCCAATGTATATATACATTATCTAACCTAAAAGCCATAATGTTAGGTAGCATGCGATATAATCAATCAAAAAAGTAAAATAGCGTGTAAAAAAAATGGGCCTAAGAATTTGTTCAGTGAAACCATTATTTAAAAAAACAACATTTAAAGTACCGTTATAAAGTGTTAATAAAAGAAAACAAACATTCTAAAACTAAAAAAAACAAACAAGTCAACCAGAAGTTCAATAATAAAAAGTTAAGAGGAATCAAAAGTCAAAACAAACATCAAATTAAAATGTCAAAACAAACATCAAATTAAAATAAGCAGACATGAGAAGTATAATGATGAAACTTACCACAGATCATACAAAATCGCAAGTTTAACTATGGAATAAATGACGAAGTTCGATCACTATATAAAAATTACTAACCATTTTCTTTCGAGCACATGGCTGTCAAGGACCAGACCCCTTCAGGGTTCTCTCCCCAAAAGTGCGTTGAAGTAAAAGGCCAGTTAATAATACCCTCACTAGATGTATCCAGAGGTCTTTTCATCAGCAATTTAGATCTAGTACCAGCTGGAGATAGGAGGTGAAGTTCACAATCACCTCTTTTCGCCGTGGAGAAAGTAATCTGGGCTTGCACGTGTTCGATGTATTTGACAACCTCGTTATTATCAGTGCACGACGATACGTTGACGACGTTCGCAGTTTCTAAACCCCCATGAACCGTTCTTAAAAGGATTTAATTGTAAATTCATTCATTTAACAACGTAATGAAAGGTTTGTATTTTTTTTTATACGTGGTTAGATAATTTTTAATCTAAATGTACAATTGCTCTACTTGAAGCTATTCTTATTCGCCTATCATCATCTACGTCTCACCTTTCTCCACGGCAAAAAGAGGTGATTGTGAACTTCACCTCCTATCATCATCTATCATCTACTCATCTCATATCATCTACTCGAGAAAGTTACCAAATATGACTAACATCGATTTCAACAGATTTTGTAAGCTATCCGGCAATTAAATGGTTCACATACTCAGATTAAGACAACTGGCTTAATTTTAACGACAAATGTTTGTGTCACGCTAACTAAAAAAAAAACAAATTTCCAATTGCAAAAATTATTTCATGTTTTCATGAAATTATTCAAATCAGACTCTAGAAAATATCACTTTATTATGATTTTGTTTATTATTTTATAAAATGGGTTCTAACACAAAACCCAAACCCAGAATTTCAACCATATTAAATTAATAACCAGGTTGCACAAAAATTAGAATACAAATATTTAAAATTGTTTCAAAAACTTCTTTTTCAGAAACTACGTAGAAAATCAAGATCTTTTCAATTCATTTTCAGAAATGAGTGCCAATGATCCAGGTAAAGAAATAACGAAGTTCTAAAAACTAAAGAAATATAATTCAAAATTTTAATACGTTCATTAAAGTGCATTGACTGTGAAAAAAGTAAAGCTAAAAATACTGCTTGTAATACATACGAAAAAATGACTTATGATGTAAGTTCACAATGCAAACTCGAGTTGGTCCGTTAGAGAAATATTTGAAAATTTTCAAAAATTATTCTAACTTTAAAAACTAACCTTTTACAATTTGTAAAAAAACAAGAAATAAATTCGCCGTCTTATAAGAAAAATAATGTACCGAAATATATTTAATATTTTCTCAACATATAATTAACCTGTTGGTTATAACAGGGGCAAAGAAGCATGAGATTCTTTTTGGACTAGTTTTCCAAATATGAGCTAATTCGACCAGCTTAGAAGCATCCATCAATCCATATCCATATGCATGGCTGACTGGAGATAATGAATTAATTTGGCGTTAGCGATTTCAGTAAATGAAAAAAAATGTTTGTACTTCATTAGGCAGTTCTAACAAACAGACCATTCTTAATTACTTAGTTTAACAAACAGACCATTCTTAATTACTTAGTTATTATAACCAAACAGACATGCGCCACAAACTCTATAACATGCGCACGACATTCGGCATCTGAGTCGGATGAGCGCGAAATAAAAACGACGCAAGAGAAACGACGACGTATGATAAAACGTAGAGGATAATTCTTTAAAAAAAAAAAAGTAAAAATGGTAGCTAGAATCAGCAAGTTAGCATCCAAATTGAATTAACAACTTCAACTGAATCGAACACAGAAATTTCTTTTGAACTCACACCATCTGCCAGCACCGTTCAGGATCCAGTCATCGCTTTTGAGCGTTGATCTTCTTGACGATCTGACCACCAGATGCTGAACATCTCTCCATGTCAAAAACTTGCTGCAAATTATTCCAGCCGTTATTTGCATTCGTTGAAAACCGACGTCATTAAATTGTATAATATTGTATAAACTAAATAATATACATATGTTTATAGGTAGACACATGTGTCTTTAATAACATATAACAATACGTGAAAGAAAACAATACTTTTTTTGCAGAGCTAGAGCGATGATGGCGGCAGCTATTGGTGCACTGGCAGACGTGCCAGAGTGGGTGTCAGTGCAGCCGTCATGCAGGTCCGTCGTGATCTGACACATTTTATCAACATTAATCAATTATAAAATTTCTCATAAAATCAATCCTAAAACATAAATACAAAAAAACCATTTGTAAAATTTCAATGAAAAATATAAAGCATACTCACATAAACAGTTTAAAAAAGAGCAAAAAATGAAAAAGAGCCAATTTTTTTTTACGACGATGCACTAGTCGACCGAGTATGGAAAATTAATTCAATTTAAACTAGTTTTCAGAACAAAATTCTTAGCAATTTTAATGAGGTCTGAGTTAATGAACTGCGATGTATTTAATTCATAATGTACGAATAGAGTTCACTCTGAAATAAAGTTAGAATCAAGTAGCATACAAAATGTACATAACAATAACCATGATTAAAGTTCTTTTCAGTTTTTTACTATCTCCTGTTTTAATAAATTTAAAATAGAAGACATGGCAAAGTGCATTTGCATTTGCATTAAACTTGAGTAAAACAAACAAATATGTTAGTATTTGACAAATAATCTCTGATTAGTTTGTAACTATTTTGTAATTTCAATATCTAAAGAATCAAAAGTTAGGACTATCAAATACCATTCAACTGCCAAATTTCTACTTTTCTACTATAATAAAGAAATAAAAGTTGTGACACCCAAATACCATTCAACTGCCAAATTTCTACTTTTCACGATCAGCACCCACAGTATCCATTATCGCTTTACTTTAAAATCGGACATAAATAAAATTTGATCCTAATTATTTAAAACTTTTGTATATAGATCAATTTTGAGCGAGTTCGAACGAATTCTTTGCTGACCTGATTGAGAGCAGGCTGTATAGAGCTGTCCAAAAAACAAGTTGAGGCTTAAAAATAAATTTCATTAAACGTAATTTTGTCCTTAAGACTTTAAAGTAGTTGCAAAAAATGCAAATCGAACTAAAATTGAGTTCTTTGAAACGGGAAGAATATATTTTATATTCGAACTAGAATTTAAGAAAAATTGTCCAATAATGGTACATGCAGTAAAAATAGTTGCCTCAATGAAATTTTGCTTCCAACCTGTGACGCAAAGTTGTGTTATATTACAGATTTTTGGAACAACGAGGTTTCGCTTGACGTGGTGCCGTAGATCCTGAGATAAAGATTCAACAAAATCTTGACTATATTGTTGTTCTAGTGTTTTGTTTTAAAGCTAATTATTATCCAGCCATTCGATCCAGCATAATTTCAATGTGAAAGGGTGAATCTTTCGCAAAGGGTGCCGTTGTGCTGTTGGGTCTTACCGTTGAAGTGCTTTTTTTTGCAAATCAGGATAAACTTTCCCATAAACTCAACTTTTGAAACTGTGTGACTTGAGAGTCCATCATGATCTTGTAATAAACATTTTTCCGTAAAAAATTAAGCCATTGTCAATTTCGAGAAATAAATCGAAAAACTTATTTTATTGTTTAATCTTATAATTCCTCATTATCTTCAAGGTATCCGTTCAAAAGGCGCTTCATGGTACACAAAACATTGTCTGCCAAAATTACAGAACCACAGCTTCAGCCAGATTATACTTGAAACACTGATCAGAAAATCATTTCTCACTAAATTAACGCTTTAAACAAATGCGACTCAGGCAAAACTTGGCGCTATAACAAATTACCCAACGATCTACATCGCAACAACATTTGGACCCGTGCGCTTAGTTTGCAGATTTCACATGTTAAATGTTTATTCATTTAAACGCACACTTGCATCGTTTCATATCATTGTTTAAATTTGAATTGAAATTAAAATGAATGTTTAAAAACAATGGTTAGGATAACGTACAATTTAATTTTAAAAACTAATCAATATAAATCAAGAGACAATAAATTTACAATTTGCGTTCTTCTGTCGGATCCACTGCTATAAGTGGCAGCCAATGTGGATGAGCACCTTTCCAGGTAATCAGGCTGCTCGTAAGTAGATGTGACGCTGCTGACAGACAATGTGTACATGCTATTCGTGTAACCATCACAATTGCAGTTGTCGCCATGTCTTCCACCATTGCCGGATGCCCATACATATATAGTTCCTAAACCGTTTCGGCCCTGTTTAACGATGAACGTGAAAAACAATCAAAACAAGAGGCTAAACTTTTATTGCTTGAAACATGCTGATCGGCAGCTTCGTAGACAAATGTAACAAAAATTCCGTGTTGCAAAAAATATATATCACAAATGATCAAATATAAAAATTAAAAACACTCTACATCTATTGTTTACTTTTTTAATTTTCTTACGTTCATTAACAATAAAACGTTTAATGAAGTTCTTGCAAACTTGAATCAGACGAAGCACAGTGATCAAAATTGGTTATTTGGTAAAAAGCTAGCAAAGCAGTGATTCAAAAGTGATTTGGTTAGAAAACATTAAGTAATAAAATGAGAAAATGAAAAACGCTTTGATCTCTGAGAAATATGCACAAACATCATTAAGAAAAACTAAAAAGACTAATAATTTGGTTAAATAATATTTGCATACTTGTTGGACCCCCATTAAAATAGCTTTTTGTGCAAGGGTGCCTGGGCCATCCAACGTTTTGCCATCATCTGTTGGTCCCCATGAAGCACTGAAGATATCAATATGTTGGAGATGATATGATAAAGCCTGAGCTTCCAAAGCGTCAGTTACATCCCCATCCAACATTCGTATACCTTAAATAGGATGGGTTAAATTGATATGAAATATTTCGGATTGATCTTAAACAATTATATTATTATGACCGGTTTACTGAAGTAACTTTAAATAATTTAATAAACTATGGTAACACAGTTCTGCCTACTCTCAGGGAAAATTACATTGACATCCAAAATTACCCTGGCCAAAGCTACGATAACGCCAGAAATATGTCAGGTCAATACTCTGGGCTGCAAACAAGAATTGAGCATGTTAACACTCTAGTCGAATGGTCATGTGCGGCAGAATGCAAAGTATCTACACCTTCTTTTCAGCCTCTGCTGGTCAATAGACAGAGATTACAAGTAATTTGACAAAAGGCATAGTCGTTTTGAAAAGAGCAGTTAATACAAGCTGATTTCTTCCCATTATGATGCCTGTTATGCTCTTGCTGTGAGCTTCAAAAAGATTCGGGGTACACTTTATCAAATTGCATCTGATATTGTCTGAATTGCCGTCAACATGACACAAAGCCAAATCGAGTTCATAAAGCACCATTTTATTAAATTTAAAAAGCGCTGACCAAGTAAACAGTAATGCATATGATGCAAAAAATAGCGAATAATACTTTTTTTTTAATTCGAAATTGCAAAAAACGGTAATGATCACATCATAAAAAAATCAAATCAAGAAAAAAAATCAGTTGCACAGCTTTTATGAGTTTGGGTTGCTAAAAAATGTAGGTCAATGAATCGGAGGGTCAGTTTAGGGGCCTCCAAATGCATTTCAGCCAGGGCCTAAAAATGTCTTAATCCGGCACTAACAAAACCGCGTCACTTTCTGATTCATTGATTTTCATAAACATTCGATAGTGCATTTGTTTGCCTTTTAAAAAATTTTTCCTTCTTTCTCTTTAATTAAGTTTACAGATTGAATTCCTTATAAACAGTAGAAAGTTTACCTTCTGCAGTCGAACCTCTAAAACAAAAATACAAACTCGGTCGAGAAATACATAACACTTTTTATATATATAAAATTTACAATTCTAATATTGGTTTATAATGTTTAAGAAAATTTTGCTGTTGAAGCTATAAAATTAACAAACCTCCGATACCAGCCTTGTAGGCAATGCCCACGCCACATTTATTGTTGTTAGCGATTGCCGCAACCTCTCCCGCGCACCGCGTTCCGTGGCTGAAATAAATCATTGCAACATCATTAGATCTCATTCAGCGAATCTTTACTAATTAAAAAATGTTTATATTTAATAACTTTTAAACGATGTAAAAAGGTTTCACATGTTAAAAATGTGCTTTCATCTCCACTTGTTTGATTTCAAATTGGTCAGGTGACTGATTTAACTTTTCAATTGCTTTTGACTCACACGCACACACACACAGATATATATATATATATATATACATACATATATATATAAATATATATATATATATATATATATTTATTTATTTGGATCCAAAATTCGTACGAATATCGTAAATGTTCAACTATCATTAAATAACATTTCCATTAATAGGGTTCAATCTACAAGACTTTTAGGCATCATTCTTACTAGCAATTTGTCATGGCCTGATCATGTTCAATTGGCTTTTCAAAAAATTACAAAAATTTAGGCTTAATATACCGACTCAGATCTAAATTTCCTAAACAAATTTTATTTACATTGTATAATTCAATTGTTTTGCCCTATTTCACTTATTGTATATCTAACTGAGGCTTTGGTACAAAATCTAATAATCGTATTTTAACTCTTTGTCAAAATTATTTCATCCATATATTGTATGGTTTAGCTAAGTTTGATCATGTAAGTATTTTTTTGGCATTATTTAAAATTCTATCAGTTAGTCAATTACATATACTGTTCACCTTAACGTTTTTTTTTATAAATTATTCATATTAAATTACTGTCCATCATTACGTTAACAGTTTAATCAATTATTAAATCATCGTTCAATCGTTTTACGAAACAATCCTGACTTTTACTTTCCTAAACCACGCACAAATTTGATCATTAATTCAGTTTTCAATGTTTCGAGTCGCCTTTGGGACTTGTTACCAATACATGTAAAAAAAACTCGACTACGCTTGGTTCATTCAAACAGTCTGTTTTAAAATTAATTTTAACGAAGCATTTTTCAACATTCATTAATTGTTGACTTTTTTCTTATTTTACAGTATTATTTACATTTTATTACATTGTAATTAAGACTTTACTGCTTGATAGTTTACGTTTAATTCAAATTTTCGTTTATATTTGTTCAAATTTTTGGCTCAAATTTCTGTTTTGGTGGCCCTACAAGTGGAAACGTTGCGTCTCCAAGTGATGTAATTTTTTGCTGAATTGAAATGAAATTTTGTTGTTTATTTGAAATGAATTGAATTTGAATAGTATTGTACGAATTCTACAGAATAGTTTGCGTTAATCGATATAAAGTGTGTCTTTTCAATTTTCCTTACTAGAATTTTCTGGAAAATGTTTAATTTGTTGAAAATAGAATTATCCAAGTTCATCATGAAAATTTAAGATTAAAAGCTTTACTTAAAGGATATAATGTACAATCAGGAAGACCATAGTAGAGCGAGTTACAATAATTTTTACGCTGATCGAAAAAGTTTTTTTGACCGTAAAATGGTGGATCCTCAACTTTGGATCCGCGGATTTGAATCTTTTCTGAATCCCTAGATTCTCACCCGAATCCGGACACGGATTTGAACCTGAATCCGGATTCGGAACATCAATAAATTTTCAGCAAGTTCAAAATATTCATCATTCAAACTATTCGTTTGAAGAAATAAATTACTTGCTGATTACCGTGACAACAATAATCATCCAGGTCAACTGTACTCAACCATTAAACAACAATTTTACAAACTAAGTCTGCATACACACTACTCCGGATTGTCGAAACTTGTGAACGTCACTGGGACCCTACCTTAAGGATACAAAAATGCTCCTGAATGCGTGATATCTTCTAGCAATTTTCTTTAATTAACCCAATGAGAACACAAACTATAACCAAAAATTTACCAAAAAGTCGCTTAATATGTGGCTATCATAAACGCAATAAAACAAGTTCAAGTTAGAGTAAACTTAGAGTAGAGCCAGTTTTGCTTTAATTATTCGTAGAACGGTTAAACACTCGACACATTTCACTTTTTTTAAATATCATGATGAGGAAGATGAAGAAATTTATGACAATTCAAGTTGCATAAAAATCCAGGAATAATTTTAATATTATGTTCTTCAATTTCCCATTGAAAAGGTTTCAAATTCAGGAAGATTACGGAAAATATTGTTGCTAATCTAATTGTATTTGAAGAAAAATACCTTTTATTAAATCGTTTATGTTTTTCATTTATCATTTGGTCCAACGTATATAACAATGTGAAGACAAAGCTTGGAAGAAATGGCAACTGATCGTGAAAAAATTTGGATATGTATCAGTTGTGGCATTAAAATTTTGATTAGGAAGAACTATCTTGCTCATCACAAGAGAAATGGTAAAATGAATTTCTTTCTGTCCAGCGCGTGAAACAAAAGTAAAAACGACGCAAATGAATGCAAAAAGTTCGTCATCTAAATTCGGTAACGGGAAAGTAGTTGTTGATTTTCCAAAAAATGAATTTCAGCAAAACTCTAATTAATGAGCAATAGCTAAAAATTGAAAAAAGGGACCAAAAACATTTTTTATGTACCGCCCACATTCAAAATAATAAAAAAAACATTTTAACCGATTGAAGTCGGTGAAGTCATATCTTGGGTGAGGATCAGTGTCATTATCGTTGAAGTCATAACTTGCTTGAGGATCCTGTATAGAAAAAAAAATTTTTCATCATATGTTAAATACTATTAGTGGAGGAAACTACAGAAATAAATGGTGATAATAAGTGCACAAACGGCATATGTTCATCCAAATAAAGGCTAGTAGTGGACCAAAGAAAACCATATAAAAACTAACAATTAATTCTTAATAAGTTAAAAAAAATTTAATGAAATATCTACAAACACACTTTATAGCAAGGCGGAAGAAATAGTAACGTAAATGATTAATGGCAAGATTGGGGTGGTCTGAAATGAAACATTAGTTTGGGTATATCAAAAATAAACTGAATTTGTAAAATTTCTGAAATCAAGAAAAGGCGGATGGGTGTAATCTACTTCATTAATTGACAACTGATTCGTAAATTTGACAATCATATGTTAGGAAGTTGTCAAAAATTTGATTAGAATAGTGAAAATATAATAATCACAAAACGGAAACATGAAGTGTGTGTATAAAGTATTAGGAATATATAATACAACAGCTAGCATTCTGAACAACCATTTTAATAGAAAATTAAAGAAGCTGTGATGAAAAAAGCACAAGTTATAAAGGATTTCTAACGTAATTTGCAAACAGATCTGTATGATTTTTCTCAATGCCATCATCGAGAATTGTTATAGCAATTCCATCACCAGTCATATTGAACCTCTTGTAGGCGTCCATTATATTCATAGATGGATGAACCTTTTCATTCTTGAGAAGTAAGATGAAATGTTTATTAAATGTAAATAATGTACATGTTACGGTGTAGAGTACGATGACAAATGGAAGCATGTGTATCCGCATAATTTAGATTTTGTTAGTTAGGTGATAGTCATTTCATTATCATATTCAATAATGATGAAAGAGACAGATGTCATAAATTACAATTAGCAACTGATGCTTTTCACAAAATGTTAAAAAATATCTTTTTAGCAACAGGGTTAGTCGCAAATTGGAATAAACTTCCTCAGTCTTTTGTGAACTCTCCTAACATTTCTATTTTCAAATCGCGATTGGATTTTTTGTGACACCAAATCTTGTTTCTTAAAATAAAAATTTATTGTGAATGGATAAGGTGTGAATGCGTCGATTGTCTTTAGTAAGAGTTTGCGTATGGGCGTACATAAATAAGCTAGTACGAAATCCTCCAATATAATTTGCGTCCAGGACTTCTTTGGGCGACATTTTGGGCGGGTGCCAAGCATCTGGTGCTTAGTGACGGAAACTATGGCATCGTTTTCGCTTCGCTTCACATGGCCAAACTATCGTAGGCGATGACGACAACATGCATCCTTCAGTGTTCACAGTCCCGATCGGTTCAGGATCTTGGTTGTATGGATATGGTCTTTTAGGCCAACATGCTGAATCAGTACGAGGCAAGGAGGTGCCATCTGTTCCATGGACACCATGAAACTTATTTGGCTTTTCTCCAACGTGGCTTTTGAGGTCGCCACGTATCAATAGTATCTCTGATGGTGGTATTTTCCTAATGGCATCTGAGATCGTGTTCCAGAAGTCGTTTTTGGCATCTTCAGAATCACCGGTCTGTGGTGCTTACGCAGAGAAAACAATCAGAACCTGTTTTCCTATTCTGCCAGTTTTCTTCTCAACGCTCTGGGCAAACTCTCCTCTGCCTTGTCTATTTTGGGTGTTGGAGGTGGCCATCCATTGAGCAGCACAGCGGCATGATATGTCTCCGAGGCGAGTTTAGCAGCACTGCAATGCAAGGCAGATGAAGCTGCCTTTAACGCTCTGCTGTCGGTATCTGTGGGCAGAACGGTTTGCACTGGCCTTTGGGTCAAAGGTCCCTGTTTCACAAGGCAGTGGATTTAGAATAGAAGATCATCCTCTATTAGAGCCGTTGTCCTAAGATCTTCCGCCTCCTTCAACATTGTCTTCTTTCTTTTAGTATAGTTGGTTCACGGGCGGCATCTTATTCCGTAATATTTTATGCAATCCCAGAAAGTCTCCCTGCCCAGGACTGCAATGAAAAGTTTGTGGTTTTATTAATATCAACTTAATTTTGCCATGATGTTATTTTATTTAAAGTCATGTTAATGTATTTAATTTTCACAATTGAATTTTTAAGCTTTTTCGGCAGAGTTTTTCCTATGGCGTTTAGAATCAACTGCCTTCGATTACTCTAACTTTACTCGTCATCATCGTTATCATAGTCAGCACATACGCCATAACGATTTCTTGTAATACCATGGACAATCACTTTATGCAAGTTTAAAATTTACCAAAAAAGGTTAATTTAGTTATAAACTAATTATATCATGTCTAAATAAAATAGTCTATTAAAATAAATCACAACAAAAAATATTCAACAACAAAATTCTAATAACATATATGTACATACCATATACCACATATTGGGCCATAATGGATCGACAAAAAAATCTCTCTTCATACGTATTTTAACTTTTTGTTGTTCCAACCATATTACCTGAGAATATTAACCAAATTTTGTTTAGGCAAAATTTATGATAAAAGAGCAATATTTTTGGAATAATGAAAATAAATAAAGGGTATGTTTTTAGTATTTTTACGACGTCTGAAAATAACATTTCGGGCATAATAAATTCTTGAAGAGATATTCTATCTGCATTAAACAAAGATGACACAATGATATATAACTTAAAAAAATACAGTGCAGCACAATTCCTTGATGGATGTAAATTGTTTGCATGTGTTCTACGAATAAAGGCTCAGCATGTTCAATTTCAAAATCCATTTACAATAAGCAAGCGCTAATTCAAACCTGGTTGTAACACAACTGGTAAAGTCAACATGATTTGTCATATCCAAGAAAAACATTGGCATATTAAAGTCTTTCAATCTGAAAAACAGATATTTAGAAACATTCCCATTAGACTAAATTGAACGAACCAAAGAGTTCATTTGAATCATCTTCTAATCCATGATATGTGACGATACATCAATTAGCGTATTCCTAAAAGTTCTAGCATAAGCAAGGTTCAACAGGGTTATCTAATTTCTTTCGAGTGCTTTGCATCAAGCTGTGCAATACAAAGAGAATGAAGTGTTTAAGAGCTACAAACTAATTTAATATCTATTTTGTAAAGTTCATTCCAAAAGGCAAAATACTCGCTGACAGATGTTCGATAACAAAATGCTATTGCCAAAAATTGCTGAAGCTGTTTATTTAAAATCACTAGTCGTTTAAAAACGGTAAGGATCTTTTATCAACATACTCCCAAATTATAGCATACAAATAAAAGGCACAGCTAAAAATCATTGGTCACCTCGAGTATCTGGGAAAAGCATTTAATTTAGTGTCGTTTGACTAAAAAATTGCCAAAAAAGCACAAGCCCAAGTGAAGCTCTAAAACAATCAGCAAAATAAATTTTTGTAAATCGTTGTCTGTAAAAAAAATTTGATACTATTTGATCGTAAACTAACTTTTGGGTTTTGTTTGAACAAATTTTGATGATAACTGTTGCTTGAAAGCGATCTTTTTTTCATTCTGTCACGCACAAATTTAAAATAATTTGGAAGTATCTGAAAAGTGTTTAAACATATTTATGTATAACATCTTGAAACAATATTTAATTTTGAGACAAGCTGTCCGTTGCATAGTATTTGTCTTATATTAATATTATTATCATTTCATAGCATGGGCATAGCCCCTTGCCATCACAAAACCAAATTCAAAAAACGAAACAAAATAACATAAACCAAATAAAATTACAAATTCCAATGACTGTCTGAAAATTAAAAAAATGAAATTAAACAGAGCACACTTGAAATTAAATTTGATGCCAATTTATTAACAGAAAATGACCGTTAATTAATTATGACCGCCTCAAGATATCGCAATTTTAAAAGATCAGAGTAATGTTGATAGTTCTACACATAAAAAGTATTAAGTCTTTTCTGCTCCAATCACAATGCCTTAAGAGACTGAATATTTACCTACATCTGACAAAAAACAACAAATGTCATTTACTCCAAAAACCTTGAATACACTATTTAAAAAAGCATTGATTACAATTTCTATCATAATTTTGTAGAATTTAAATGCATATGGCACACAATATGTTTTGAAAACAGTTCGCCAAAACAGAAAAAAATTTTAAACTCATCCACCCAACAGAAGACAACAGAAACATGATTTCATCATTTATTCACTACAAAATGAAACTTTCAACCCTAGGCACTTTCAATCTATCAATATCACCAATCACTAACAGCTAGTTACACAGTTTACCTAATCTCATTATTCCATTGCTTTTATTCATTCATCTATCTTTTCCTTGTCCTGCTGTTCTTCAGTAATGCCTTATCTACACAATAATTTAATCTAATTCATTTTAATTCAATTTTTTAATTCACTCTTGAATAATAATTTAACAACATCACACTGCACTCAATAAGACACATACCTTTATACATGTTATTTATCTGCACATTATTCTTACATATTTGTGCATAAACCTACCATTTTTTATTCTCTAGTCTCAGCTGCACAATTTTTTTAACTTTAAGGGGCAAAATAAAAATATAAAAAAAAATCTTTTTATATAATTATTTTACCAATTTATTTTTTTTTTATAAAATCATTTATTTTTTATTATCAATATGTTAATTTACTTTTTAGACTCATCATACTTTCTATTTCAGTTCAAGTTTTATAATTTATGTATTTGTATTGTTTTGCATGTTGTAACATTTTTGGCATCTGAAAATGAATGACTTTAAAAATAGACTCAAAATAAATAAATATTGAAACCTTTATCAGGATGTCAAAAGATTTTTAATATTGTAAATCACTTTTTACGAGTCAGTAAGTAAGAAAATAATATAAAATAAATAAATAATACAAGCCCTGTGGCGCATAACTTTACCAAACGCAATTAAATTAATAATAACCTGACGATATTAAAAAAAACATCAATTTCATATAAATAAACTTTTATAAATAATGTAGAAAATTTTAAATTTTCAAGTTATTAGGCTTGAGAAGACATATTATAGAATTATACCATATGATAACACATAAAATCTGTTATGTATCTATGATAATTAATGTCATTGACAGATTCATTAATAGAAGAAAATATAATATCATTAGATTATGACATCAGATATATATATCATCTAATTTTTATATAATAAAACTAATGTCTGTTCAAAATGTTTATTTTATTTCAATTTTACACACAAAAATATTATCTGGGTTCAGATCATATCTGGTGAACATGAAAAAACATTTCAATACCTCTTCTTCTAATCTGAATCCCAAAGTTCTACCAATATTTGCAGCTTCTTCAGAAGATTCGTTTATAAACGCTACCCACTCGTTAGTAAAATAACCGGTAGTAAAAACATAGCCAATCATTGTGTATATTATTATTATTATATTACATAAAAATATAACTTTCAAGTACATGACAAAAAGTTCTAGAGTGTTCCTTTTTCTTATAATACCATAGTATACTATACATATATTTATATTCAATTTTGTTTTATTTTATAAACGTGACAATAATATATCCATAAAGTTTGTTTATTTGCAAACAGATGTTAACCATGCCACCCCCGGATGACGATGGATGGAGGATTAAATTAAATTTACGGAAGCGAACTTAGCTACGGTTTATGCATATTGTAAACCAACGTATGTCGCGTTCAGGTTATGAAGCCTTCACACACGTCAATTTGGTATTTTACCAATATTTATTTTAGTCATCATAAGGCAGTCGAGTCAAATAAGAAAGTCATACCAAAAACTAAAATAAAATTAAATTAAAAAAAAAAAAGAAAATAATACAAAATTTATGCTTATGGTTTACTTTAAATTAATTTTTACCCAATTAACCAGAAAACGCCAAACGTGCTGTTTCCATGCAGTTTTTGGAACATTAAAATGCCAATTCACTAGTCTGCAACCAACTATTACTGGTCTACCAAATCAGTTTCATCGGATTTATTTGTTCCATTGATGTCTAAAGTGTCTCATTGTTAGCATTGCCAGATATGAGTGCAGCCTTCGGCTCTGTTGATCAGTCAACTCATTCTGGTATAAATGTCAATTTGATGTTTTTAGTTTTGCCACCTTATGGTTCGAATCTTATCTGCTCGGTAGGACGCAACAGATCATTTTTGATAAAATCTTGTCGAATGTTGAAATCGTTATATTTGAAGTTTTCCACGGTTCAGTTATTTTTTGCCGTATACCTTACAGTTTGTGCATTTTCGATAATTAAAAAAATTTACTTTATATATCATGCATTTGCTGATGATGTTCAGATAATTTTTCCTATTAGTTGTAATACTTCCATTCTGTTGTTAGGCCATTTAGCTGATAGTCATTTAGTCTGGTGTTTCAATGAATTAAAAAAGTATATAATAAACATCAGGGTCTCGTGGCCGAGTGGCTAGCGTGTCCGACTACTACTTCCACGACCCGGTTTCAAATTTTGCAGTTTCTGAATTTCATCCGGGTAGCCGACTACCGGCTAACCCAGCCGTCCATCTTTCCGAAGTCGGTAAATGGGGAGACGACGTAAGTTGTCGTATGTTTTGCCGGCAAAATGGCTCAGTGGCTGAGTCAAACATCTTAATGGCTACCATATACTCAGCGTATATGATTCGGTGTTTGCGCATGCACATAAATTAAATACACGTGTACGTCGTGTGAAAAGCTTTTGTGGCGACGATGACTGCTTCAAATCAATGGATGAAGATATGAAGAACATAATAAACATATATAGATAATATATATGTAACATTGTAAGTGGTTCTGTGTATGTCAGAGCTGCAATAATAAAGACTAGAAAAAAAAAATTGAAGATGAATGAAGAGAAAACACAGCTATTACTGTCGGCAGCTGGCAACAGTTACAGAAAACAAATGTCAACTCCGTTAATATATCTGAGACCACCGCGCAAACTTTTGCAATTTGGGCGTCATTTCCTACAGTAAAATGACCATAGATCAACATGTTAAGATGCCGAACGAAAAATGTTGCTATCAGCTTCGCAGACTCAGACACATTAAAAAAATCACACAATTAAAACATTAAAATATTTAGTTTAAAATGAGACTAAAAAGAGAGTATTTTTTACAAAATTTCTGAAAAATGAATGTGTCGTTTACAGACATTACAAATTCTAGCGGCAGAAATCGCCTCTGTTGAGTTGGAATAACTTTAGTCAGGCTTATTACTTGATCTTTATTGGCTAATAATGAAAAAATTTACTCAATATTGCCAATATGGTTTTCAAATATTTAAATAATCTATGTCCCAGCAATTTGTCCGTAAAATGAAATCAGTTGTAGGTCATCGCAGTCACGTTGAGATGATAATTTTTTTGCTGTTGCCACCTAAAACAATTGGCGGTGATAACCAGAAATTTGGCAGTCGTTTGCCAAACTATTTGAAACGGCTTACTTCAAAATCTGAGTCAATCAAAATCAACATCAGAAGAACTTCTTTGAAAACTCAAAGCTCGATTTAAGCAGCGCCTTTGAAGACTATTAAAAGACTTCTATAATCAATAATAAGACCTAATCACAGATGAATCCTTTGATGAGTGCCGATAAAGTGAATAAAACATAATAAAAATAATAATAATGAACAAAATTTAAAATAAATAGTTAAAACAGAAATGACAACAGACAAAACAATCGGAGATGAAAGGTAAGACTACACGAGATTTGAAGGTCATTTCCTCTTGCCAAAACAATGTTTTCCATATTAACCTAGAGCGTATAGTGAATTAAAACTGCCGTTTAGAGGAGAGCGGGGCTATATGTTACAAGGGTTGAATGTTACAAGTGCGATATCTTTGTTATTAAAAAATTATTTTCAAAAATGTTTTGCACATATAATCTTTGGTTCAAACTTGACTTTTGGATAAACAAACATCTGGTGACATTTTTGTTACGACTTAAAATCATTTTCTTTTTTTCGCATCGTTTTTGGTAAGTTTCAACATTTTGTTTGTTTTTATTAAATTTTAATCAATATCAATATTTATTTTAAACTAAAATTACATAAAGCTAATATAACCTTCTAGGAAGAAATGTAGAATATGTTTCGTGTGTTTTAATACACCGCATTTTTTTTATTTTTAACCAGTCATGGCCTTGTTGGGGTTATTTGTTCCAAAGTTTTGTACCAAATCTAAATTTTGCCATTGGAATCTTTAAATGCATATATAATAATTAAGCTAAATCAAATAATTTTTATGCATTTGGATAGTTGAATATTTGTAAATCAATTTTATTTTAATCTTTCTTTTCTTCAGATAGCATGAGAAATTATATTAAGAAAACGGATCGGATTCGCATAGATCCAGATGTTTTAGCTTTGGCAATGAAAACTGTCAACGAAACTATACGTTCCATCCGGGATGTTGCTAAGCAATACATTTTAAATTTCATGATGCTGCATCGCAAGTGTAAGCAGAGTTTGTCCAATGGAGACATTTTGCTGTTAAGCTCTCAACACAATCGACAAATTTTTACTCCTAACTAGAAACAAGAGATAGCAGCTTACGTAGCGACAGCTGCAAAATTATACCATGGTGTTCCACCAAAGGAAATGAAGAAGCAATATGCTGTAAAAAAACCTCATCATATTTCCCGAACGATGCAACGAAACTCAACAGGCTGGCAAAGATTGGTTTACTGCTTTTTTAAAGCGAAACAGTTTTCTGTCAATCCGAATTCCTGAAACCACAAGTCTAAGTAGAGCTACAAGTTTCAATCAAACAAACATTGATTTATTTTTTGACAATCTGGCTTTGGTTATGGATCGTTACAAATATCAGCCTCATGAAATATTCAACGTTGATGAAACAGGAGTGACCACTGTCCAAAGGCCTGATCAAGTTGTGGCAAAACGTGGTACAAAGCAAGTAGGATCAGTCACATCTGGAAAAAGGGAAACTTTAGTGACAGTAACAATTGTGATCATTGCTGTTGGAAACAGCATTTCTCCAATATTTGTGTTTCTACGCGTTAATTTTCGTGACCACTTCATTAGAGATGGACCAACTGGTTGCATTAGATCAGCTAACCCTTCCGTATGGATGAAGGAAGATGATTTTTTCAAGTTTATTGAACATTTTGTCTATAATGTAAAACCTAAACCAGATAGACCTGTTCTCCTACTAATGGACAATCACGAATCTCATTTACCACTTAATGTTATTGATTTTTGTAAAGTGAATGGCGTTATTCTTTTGACTTTCCCTCCGCCATTGCTCACATAAATTACAGCCATTGGACCGCACAGTTTATGGACCATTGAAAAGATGGACCGCCTATGATGGTTGGATGAGATCTAATCCGGGAAGACAATGTCCATATATGGCATACCCGGAATTGCAGCAAATGCTTTTCCATTAGTTTTAACCCCCAAAAATATTAAGTCAGGATTTCGAGTCAGTGGGATTTTTCCATTCAATCTGAATGTATTCAGTGATGATGAATTCTTGCCATCAACATTTACTGATCGACCTGAACCACAGCCCTGTTCTAATCAGACTGGTACTAAACCTGTTTTATTGTCTTCCGATAGCACAAATCCAGGAGATGAAAGTGTAGTACCACATACAGATTGAATTGAAAAATAATTTATTTGGCCAAAAGCACAGGAGATCAAGATACGAGTTAGTATGTGCAGACCATCTTAACTAACTAACATATGTGCGAAGAAACATAAATCAGACAAAATATATAATAAATAATAATGAATGCAAATAAAATCCAAAATCACACATAAAATCATTAAAAGACAACCAAAGAAAAGAAAAAGTCTCAATGGTTATTGAAATGTCCTGATAAAATTAGTTTATAAATCGATGCCTTGAATATACTATAGGAAGGTGAGTTTTTCACATTTTCAGGTAACGTATTCCAAAGACGCATTGAAAATGATAATGCTGAATTGATAAAAAAGTTCGTCCTGGACGTTGAGAGGAAAAAATCTGGATTTCTATGGAAACGATCACATCTGGTATTTTTAAATGAAGCAAGTACATTAAAAAGCAGTTTACAATAATTCAATTTATAAGTTTAAAAAAATAAAAGTAATAAATAACATTAATTGGTTTATATTGCAAATATTCGCTAAACTGTAAAAAGATGTAATATGGTCAAGTTTGCGTAAGTGAAATAAAATACGAAGAAAAAATTGAGATAATGTTAAAATATGAAGATTTGATTTAGGAGCTGAGCCCCAAACAGAAATGCAATAGATAATATATGGTAAGACGAGAGAGTTATATAATTTGAGCAAGATAAACCTAGGAAATTTAGACCTCAAACGATAGATAAAGCCCAGATTTTTAGCTAGCTTGCTTGAAATGTGTTTAATATGAGTCAACCATGACAAATGAAATATAATTAATAACATCGACAATTGCAAATTCAGTAGACAATTTATCGCGAAAGCCATATTGATTTAGACAGATTACATTACGAGAATTGAGGAATTTGTTAAAACGATTTAAGATTATCTTTTCAATTAGTTTAGATATACTAAAAAGAATAGAAATAGAAATAGTAATTGTTAATAGAATGGCGAACCCCTGATTTTGATAAAGGTAAAATTTTAGAGATCTTAAGGCAATTAGGAAAGTGACCGCTTTAAAAGAGAGATTAATAAAATGTAGCTATGAATGATATTTTTTAGTACGAAATTTGAAATAAGATCATCACCGCAACTGTTAGTGCATTTAAAATTGTTAACAATATCAATAATTTCAAATGGGAGACATTCAAACAAAACAAATGTATTAGAAACATGATCACCCATAAAGCTTTTAAAATCAGAATTACAAGAATTATTAACATTGACTAATGACAAAAAATAATTGTTGAAATAATTTCACAATGAAACATCATCCATAATAAAATGATTATCAACCTTTATATTAAAAGAGGATGATATATTATTAAGTCTTCCATATTTCAATATCTTCCAAGTACGCCTACCGTTAAATTTACAATTTAAAAACTGACTATTATAATAAAGGTTTTCAGACAGTTTACATAATTTTGAAAAAATGTTCTTATATTTGTTATATGTTACTTTATCATATAAAGAGTTGGAGTGCAAAAAATTTTGTATAACTTATTTTTCCTGGCAGATAAAATAATCAAACCCTTGGTTATCCAGGGTTTTCTCTTAAGGGATTTATTACGGAAAACTTCACAATTTATAATGATTGCATTCTTAACAATATCTAAAAATGAAGTAAAAGCTAAATCAGTGTTACAACAGTTAAAAATACAAGATAATGATATCCTTCCAGACGTCAAGAAAACTCCAAAAAAAAGTTCTATTCAAACCAGTTACAAACCACACTACACCAGAAGAAATACAGCCATGCTCGTCTGCTGAGCCTAGAAAGGCAAATGGAAGAAGTCGAAAACGAAAATCTGCAATTTTAACAGACACTCCGGTCAGAAATGCTTTGAAAGAAAAAATTAATGAAACCTGCTGTTTTGAAGCAATTAATACTGGCAACAAAACGTAAAACCAAGTATCTCAGTGGTAAAAAGTAAACAAAAGCAAGGAAAATAATAACGTTTTCCAATTGCAGTGAAAAAACAATATGTTTAGTTTGCGGTGAATCATTTAAGGAAGATTGGATACAATGCATCAACTGCTAGAATTGGTCACACGAGAATTGTCGGATGGCAGTGACTATTACTTATGCCATTACTGTGACAATGTCAAATAATTAATAATAACAATTTTTATGTTATATTTCACACCTGAAACATTCAACCCGGACATGTGTAACCATCAACCTCGCCATAAGGGCTGTTTGTTACATTTGGAGGTCCTTGCAACTTTTTAGTTTTTTCATTTATGGTAAAAAATAAATCAGTTTTAATTGTTTCAGTAAGTGAATAATAAATTGTTCAATACATATAAAAAGTCTTAATGTAGTTGTTTTAAAAACAACAGAGTTATACCAAGATTTATGAAAATTGTAACATATAGCCCCGCTCTCCCCTGTACATAAACTTAAATGTTTAAAGTGAAATAACATTATGATAAATATTGCTTGCTTGATAACACACAAAATGAACTTTGTTTATATTTTTAATGAGGATTAATTTTTGAAATGTTACTTGTCGTAATGAACACTGGCGAAATATAAATCTTTTTAACATTTAAATGACGAAAATAAATAAATAAAAATTTTCATTTTCAGCAACGAGCCTAGGAAAACTGTTACGTTAAAATAAGGTAAAATAAGGTAAGGTACGGATATTTATCAAAACGGTTCAAAAATTAAATGCATCTAACTTGTTCCAGAAGAAAATCGCAAAATAAAAAAGCAAAATGTTAAAAAAAGATTTAAATTTTATAAAAGTTTAGAAAAGTTGAACTGTAGTTGAATTAAATTTATTATTTTACTGTTACTGAGACATTTTTCAAGCGAGTTCATGATATTTTTTATTTAATCTTTGTATGAAACCTTTCTGTGCCACTTGTAAAAGCTTGTTAAATTTCAGTGTCGTCACTTATGAAAATATTTTTGTCTTGATGACTCGTTTTAAAATTTTCTGCATAAAATGGTGATGGTCGCAAAATAAAATTAATGTTTGGGTTTGTCGAAGTTTGTAAAAAAGAATTAAATGCATTCAAGTCCGTCGATTCTTTCATTGGTGCGTTCTGACTGGCAGCAAATGTTAACTGCGATTGGTTATAGGCTTGATCTGGTGAAGTAGACTGCTTTGTAACTTCATTATTGTAGTAAATTTTATTATATGCTTCAAACTACAGAAATAAATGGTGATAATAAGTGCACAAACGGCATATGTTCATCCAAATAAAGGCTAGTAGTGGACCAAAGAAAACCATATAAAAACTAACAATTAATTCTTAATAAGTTAAAAAAAATTTAATGAAATATCTACAAACACACTTTATAGCAAGGCGGAAGAAATAGTAACGTAAATGATTAATGGCAAGATTGGGGTGGTCTGAAATGAAACATTAGTTTGGGTATATCAAAAATAAACTGAATTTGTAAAATTTCTGAAATCAAGAAAAGGCGGATGGGTGTAATCTACTTCATTAATTGACAACTGATTCGTAAATTTGACAATCATATGTTAGGAAGTTGTCAAAAATTTGATTAGAATAGTGAAAATATAATAATCACAAAACGGAAACATGAAGTGTGTGTATAAAGTATTAGGAATATATAATACAACAGCTAGCATTCTGAACAACCATTTTAATAGAAAATTAAAAGCTTGTAAAAGCTTGTTAAATTTCAGTGTCGTCACTTATGAAAATATTTTTGTCTTGATGACTCGTTTTAAAATTTTCTGCATAAAATGGTGATGGTCGCAAAATAAAATTAATGTTTGGGTTTGTCGAAGTTTGTAAAAAAGAATTAAATGCATTCAAGTTCGTCGATTCTTTCATTGGTGCGTTCTGACTGGCAGCAAATGTTAACTGCGATTGGTTATAGGCTTGATCTGGTGAAGTAGACTGCTTTGTAACTTCATTATTGTAGTAAATTTTATTATATGCTTCAATGCTTGCACTCGTGGAAGCAAGCATATTCGATTTGTCATTATCGGTAGATGTATTTCTTCGCACATTTTTGTCAATTTCTAAATTAGGTGCATCATGATGTAGACCTTTTTGTGCTTGTTGTTTTTTGAGAATTGATGATATGGGTGTAGTCCTAGTAATGTTTTGGTTACTAAATTCACTTTGTGATACTTTTTTTTCCATCTTTTTCTTACGTTTTTTGTCGATGAATTGCGAAATATCTCTCAAAAGTAACATGATGGTCAAAATAATTGCAATGATCAACATAATCCCCAATATAACACCAATTCCAATGCAAGCCCTTCGCATGCTGTCATTTTTTGAATCTTGCTTTTTCACTTCCTTCAAATATTCAACAATTTAGCATTGTCAAATTTTAAATTTCTAATCAAAATTGACAAATAAAAAATTATGTTTACATTTTACTTTGTCAAAAATGGTTTAAAATGAAAATGCATGAATGAAGCACATAGCCCAAAATATGTCTGCGTGTGCTTCTCTACTATTTTTTCAAGTGACAAAAAAGAGAATTCATTTGGCGTTTGATTGAACATAATTAATTTTTTTAAATATAATCTAAAATATAATCTAATCTATAGAACAAATTTCGCCAAAAAGCAGTTTGTTATAGGTCCTAGAGTTTATCTAAAGCGAAACAATAACTAACTAATCTGGAGCCAAATTTTCTCCATGTCAACAGTTATTTTGGATGGAGGATCAGTTTTTTTAAACCGTATAGAAGAAATTTTCCACCTCTGAACTCAATGCTTAATTTTCAACGTTTTGAAATGATATTGCTTTGGCGTTCAGTGTCACTTCTTTTGCAATTTCCTCATCCAAACAACAAATCCTATCTAATCTTAATGCTGTTCTAAATAATTTACCTTTATGTCTTTCATCTATTATTGCTTGCACTAACTTTATGCCTCAAACTAAATTGTTCTAAGTTTGAATTAATATGTTTTAATAAGTCTAAAATTTCTACTACTACTATTCCTCATATTGACATCTTACCCGATTCTCAAACTTGATTTTTTTCAAATTTCGTACTCTTGGTATTACTTTTGAACCCAGCATGCGTCTTTTTTTATGTTGATAATGTTGTTAGAAATTCTTATTTACATGAACGTAGAATAAAATACTTGAAATACTTTTGCCTTTCTTTGATGATCATACTCTTCTCTTACTTTTTACCTCATTAATTTCATCTAAAATTAAATATTGCAATTCGCTTGTAATTCTCAAGTATTAATGGTCTTTCTGATTCTACTATATATCTTTTTAATTCTATTATATATCCTTTAACTAAAACCTTACCCTACTTCTCCTTTAGTTGCATGTACCTTTATCTTTTCTCACATATCTCCGCCTCTTGTTAATTTTCACATTAATGTACAAGTTTAGAACTAAATTATTTCTTAAGCATTATCAAATATATAACTTAACTTAACGCCCCTCAGTACAAATTTATTTATCAAATATATTAACTTAACTTAACGTCCCTAAGTACCTATTAGACATATCATCAGATTTATCTTCACTCAATATTTATCCTTATGTAAAACAGTTGTATATATCACTCAACACCAAACACTTTTTTCCACTTTTTCATAATTCCTGAAAACACTTTTATACTAAATCTGCTTTTGCTTTTCTGGTCTTTTTGTTTTGAACTCTTTTTCTTCTTCTCTACTTCTTCAATTCCAATCTCTCTCTCTCTCTCTCTTTCTCTACTTCTTCAAAAGTATCAAAAAGAAGTGTCGACGTCACATATTTATTACATTTTCCGTCGGGAACACCCCAATTAATTAGCATTTAAATAATGAATGACAACCCACAGAAGATCTACAAAATAGAAAGTAATGACTATAAAAAAACTATAAAAAATACCTCATAACATTTTGGAGTAGGCCATCCAAATCTAAGCATACAATCACAAAATGGGGCATCTGCCATTTCTAAAAATTTCAGCAAAATAATAGTGTCATGTTTAAGATTATTCGAAATATAACTTTAAATAATAAGATCAAGTTCTGCTTAGAAAAGAAAGTTATGTATATGCTATATACGACAAACAAATCAACCAACTAACCAGCTAACCATACAATTACCCAACCAACTAATCAACCAACCAACTAATAGCCAACCAATCAATTCGTTTATATAATCCTTTTACACACATTTGGGAGGAGGCCTTCCAAATCACTTGATATTGAAAATACAATACAAAACCAGCACTAATATTTAGTATGGGCAACAAAATTTTTTAAAACTTGTTAACCATCTTATGTCTCAAACCAATTTCCAGCTACTTCCTGAAGTACCCCATTTCAAATGCTTTCTATTCGTGTGCATCTTTTCTTTATTATCCCACTTTTGAATGCATAGAGCAGTGTATAGAATAAAGTAAGTTTCTATTGTTTTAAATTTTGTTTTGATAGATATATTATCACTTTTCAAACTTTTTCAATAAAGCAAACATATAGTGGTTAAATTTTTGTGGGCAATTGTTGTCTCTACTTTTAAGACCGCCAAAATGCACGAAGTGGCCTACTTTTTCTAGTTTTTCAAGTCCTATTTTAAATATTTCACTGACTTTTTTTCTCTCGAAATCATTGCTTTTGTCTGATTATTGTCGACGGGCAATCTATATTAATCTTTACCGCCATCATGTGTCATATCGAAAAGCTCCAATAAAACTTTTGCATCGGATGCTAGTAGATCAATATCACAAGCAAGACTAAGATGCTTTACAATTCTGTCTCCAATATCAATTCTGCCCATCAATGGATCATTTTTTCATGGCTATCTCCAATAATGTTGTGAGCGGTAATAATGATAATGGAATATCTGGTCGACTTCCAAGTACTTCTTTGATCAAATCTCCTGCACCAATTCTTTCTGCCATTTTTATACATTCCTAAAGCCTCTTTAATATGTGTCCACATGATCACACCACCATGTCACCTTAATTAACTAGCTAACTACTTGTTCATACGATTTTTTTAATGAAAAACGTTTTAAATATAAAAACAACAAAATATAACGCAGTTTGAAAATTAATTTCGTTTTTTTCTTGTGAATATCATTTTCTTGAGCTTGAGATTCCCAACACCAATTATAATGGAAGCATAAAGTCAATGCTCCTCTGGCTTTCAACAAAGCTCATAATCGAAAATACGATTTAGTAATATCGGGATAAAATAGCACGATAATTAACTGAAACTGCCTTGTAACAGGCAGTTCAAATAATTTTTACAACAGTAAAAACAATAATAATGCACATCAAACCACAATTAAAAAACCAAATTAACATTGAACTTACCGCAGACAGCAAAAGAATACGAATTGGGAAGACCGATAGATTTTGATATTGGCGACACGCAATGTATCGTGGCTGCGTCATGATAATCAACATCTTGAAGTTTTTAATTGAGGTTCGCAAATAAACTTGAGTTACTAATAAGTGCAAATTAAAAAAATGTTTCATACTCGATATAACCAATTTGTAGACAGCTGTCAACTGATTGAACGAATCGATAGATAATGTGTATCTTGAATTGCGGTAGTCTATAGCAATCAACTCAGAATTGCCGAGCACTTGCATGATATTTCCGGTGTTTCTATACCATAAAACAGCTCGACTGCCGGCTTTAACAATATCTACTTTACAATATATCACTAACGACTCCTTGGGTTTCACCCTGTTTTCGGTTAAATTTGATGACATGCTGTAAAAGGTGAAACAAGATTCAATACCTGAATTTAAAAAATTATAGATGGAATGGACGGTAATTTGTAATCTTACTAAATTGAAAAAAAATAATTTAATTTTAATAAAAAATAACTGAATTAACTCCAGTTTTTATTGAAGCCTTACAAGTTTGGCAAGTTATTGCTTACTGACTTGATTCAAAATCTGACACTGTAAAAAGTCAAAGCCAGTTTTAGACCTGGCACAAAAGATTTATTATTAATTGCACTAGTACGAAATGCAGCAAACCAAAAAATGTGCACATAATCATACACAAACTCATTTAAAAATTAGGAATCTGCTTTTAAAGTCAAATTAAAAATTGATTCATTACTAAATAACGATTCAGTTTTTTGTGGTAACTTAATTTTTGTCATTTTAATTTGCTAAAATCTTTTGTTATCTTATTGATAAACCATTTTTAAAAAAACTTTATATAATTGAGAAACTTTTTAAGGTATTTAGATTTAAATTACATATTTGAATTTATAACATAAATGTATTTAGGCAACGTATTTGAATGATATTACATATTAGGTTACATAAAATTATACAATAATTAAATTTCAAAGATTACAGGTAAGGCTTCATATACATATAATATCTGTAAGAGGTTCATCAAATAAATGCTAAACATTAAGAACAAATACACTAACATAATATCCTGACTAACATAATATCTTCTTAATTAAAATAAAGAATTTTCAAAACATAATCATTATCAAATGATAGTTTGCAACAAGATTTATTTTTTTGTTGGTCCAAAGACCATTATTTTACAAGCATATTATGTATTGTTAATCAAATTGGTAGAAAAAACTGGACTGCAAAAGAGCAAATGAAACTTTTAGCTGAAATATTCATATTTACAATATTTAAAAAAAGTAACATAAATATATTTTTCTTTTGAAAACCAGTGTGTCAGTGTTAAACAACCATATTTGAGGTGACATTTGTAAACAAATTGTTTCATGATGCAATACTCGAATGTAAGCCATTTTATAAGGAAGTTTTAAAAGAAAATTTCATACAGTGGCTGCTTTTTTAACTAAGCAAAATTGCTTTTTCAGTTTAAAAATTTTGTTGGCCAATTTTTTAATAATATTATCTAGAGCAGATATAAATAAGGACAAGAAATTAAAAAATAAAATCAATAAAATATTCCATATTTAAAATATTAATATAAAGATCTATAAAGACATACACAGCCCACATAACACACTGGTCCTTCAATGTTCTATTCATGGTAATCTAGTCTAGTCATTATAAAACAAATGACTAACTAACAAACTAAAATCTAATCCTAATAAAATAAAAATTGTGTTACTGGTAAAGTGTAAAGCCCTTGTACAACCTTAATGCTGATTACTGTAATGTAAGTAAATGTAAATTTTTACAATTACAACTAAAGAATTTTTGTTGAATTCAATTACTTTACTTAACTTTTACTAGGCATTTTAAATTAATTAATTAAAATATGTTTGTGTGTGACACTACATGACTACACTAAACGACGTTGAAAAACGAAAATTAATTTACGATTCTATTTTAAAGAGAGGATATATATAAAATAACCACTACATACTGAGCAAGAGTATGCATGCTGTAAAATGAAAGTAGTCCATTCTGACATCGTCCAGATGAATAACGGTAACAATTTTGAAAATTGAATCAAATCGAACGCAAATCACAACAATAATAATACAGGTGCGCCATGATCATTTAATAGGTGACAAAATAATAGAGACTTGACATCAGTTGTGCTCATGCGTTTTAAAACGCTTTTATAAACATGTAATTACTAATTTTTTTAATATTAAAAACAAGGCTTGACATTCTGACAAACTGGTTTCAAATTCTGAGTTTAAAAATTTGAACTTGACAAAGTGAAACAGTTCCTTTGCATTTTGACGCATTCATCTTTTATGAACTTCGCTTCCAATTTAGCGATTGTTGCAAATTTCATAACCAAGGCTGACTGACTAGGTTTCCCGTACATGTATACATGCATTATAATTATTATTATCAACAGTAATATTATTATTATTAACATGATTATTGATGGTATGAATGGTAAAGCGGTGTACAGAAGTTTCGAAGAATGCTGATGCGCATATAAACTTCCACAGAGCCTCGCAAACGTTAATTTTTGCACTATTCATCTTCATAAATGTACTTTAATAGCCCCACAATCTGGCTACGATGAATGGTACGCGTCAGCTCCACTTTGTAAACAACTCGCCGCTGACAGCCTAGGAAGTTCGATACTAGGTGTCAATAGTATTGCAGATGCCAAAGCAAATTTTACTATAATGGAAGAAATTAGACATGTTTAACTGTTATTATAAAATTATTTGACATTTAATAATTGATTAAAAAAATTTAGTTAAATTAATTTGATAACACATTAACAACCAGTGACGGATTTACGATTACTTTCATCTACGTAGAATAAAAAACTTTTGCCTTTTCTTGACGATCCTACTCTTCATTCTTGTTACTTCTTTAGTTTTATCTAGGATTGACACTCCTAACTCCCTAAATCGCTGATTCTACTCACTTTTATACTTTTTTTCCTCCATCTAATCTCAATAGTGTTGCTAGAAGCTCTTACTTTCATCTACGTAGACTAAAAAAAATTTGTCTTTTCTTGATGATCCTACTCTTTTCCTTCTTGTTACTTCGTTAGTCTTATGTAGGATTGATTATTGTAACTCGCTCTACAATTGTCTTCCTGACTCTATACTCTATCCTTTACGTAAAGCTTATAACTCTGCTGCTTGTCTAGTTGCTCGTGCCTCTTTCTTTTCTCATATATCTCCATATCTTGTTCTCTTGCACTGGCTACCTATAAAATATAGAATAATTTTTAAAATTTGCACGTTTATGTATAAGTCTCAATCTAAATTATTTTCTAAGTATTTATCAGATATATTAATTGAACCTAAACGCCCCGGTTTACGATCGTCTTTTTGTTAAACACTCTTTTGCCAAATCTGCTTTTGCTTTTTCTGGTCCTTTTTTCTGGAACTTTCTACCTACTTCTCTGACTACTTCTCCATCACTTGCGAAGTTCAGAGCAGATCTCAAGACCATGCTCAAGACCCATCTGTTTTCAAAATTCTATGAGGAGCGCTGTTGAACATCGCGGAAATAGCGCTTTATAAGATAATTGATTGATTGATTGATATTAGTTTTCAATAAAAGAAATATACTAAGAAAACATTATTTATTTTTATTTTGTGCCGCAAAACACTATTTAAGTTTAAAATATGAATTATATTCTATACTTGCATACTTGTATCAAATTTATATAATAAGTCAGCGTTATTTTTAATTGTTAAAAAGAGTCGATCTCAAATTTTTTTTAATTATTATTTAACGCTTCTTGAATTGAACTGCCCCCCCCCCCTAAATCCGCCACTGACTGGCTACCTATGAAATAAAGAATAATTTTAAAATTTGCACATTTATGTTTAAGTCTCAACCTAACTAAATACTAAGTACTTATCAGATAAATTAATTAAACCTAAACGCCCTAGTTAACGATTGTCTTTTTGTTCTCACTTTTTCTTAACTCGTGTTAAACACTCTTTTGCTAAATCTGCTTTTGCTTTTTCTGGCCATTTTCTCTGGAACTCTCTATCTCCTTTTCTGACTACTTCTCCATCACTTACGAAGTTCAGAGCGGATCTCAAGACCCTCCTGTTTGCAAAATTCATTGAGGAGCGCTGTTGAACATCGCGGAAATAGCGATTATAAACTAATTGACTGATTGATTGACTGACTGACTGACCGACCGACCGACCGACTGACTGATTGATTGATTTTGATTGATTGATTAATTTAGGCAACTTTGACGGGGGGCCGAATTTTTGAAAAAGTTCAAATTCAAAATTAACACCAGACCCAAAAGTGCACTAAAAATATACGCCTGGGATTTGACAGCCGGTGTATATATATATACTTAGAAAACCTATACCTATATTAAATATTTCTTTTATTTTAGTTGCTTTTATTTTTTACAGTTTACGACTGACTTTACCAGCGTTTTTTTAAAAGTTTTATAAACAAGCAGTGACAATCTACAATTTAGTTTCATGTTAAAAATGAATAATGACTGCCGAGGAGCAATTCCGCAATGGAATTATTAGCTACGTCGCCAGTTTAAAAGAAAGGGTCGCATCTTTTGCTCACACCGATCTGACCTACTCTAAATGCAAATTAAAGGATGACTGTGACTTCAATTTCAATGATAATGATTTCATCCATCATAGTAGAAGAAGAAGGGCTGAGGCTGAGGTTAGTAGAAAAAAAAAACATCTTGATAATAGATAATTATTTTGGAAAAATTGAGAAACTACACTGAACAAAAATTAAACCATGGTATGGTATTTAATTTTTTATTTTACTTTTTAAGTTTCTATAGATAAATTTTAGTTTTTAGACTAAAGACTAGAGACCAAAACAGGTTGATGTTGTTGTTGTGTTGTCTGTGTCTGTTGTAGATTGTAGTTGTAGAAATTGTATTTATGGAAAATTTATATATCTATACCGGAATAGAATTGAATACATACACCATGTGCATATCATTATTAAACTAATTAAAATGTCAGTATACAATTTTTTTTAATGGTTTGTTAAAACAGCAATGAAGTGAAAATATGGTTTTATTGATTTATCTCTGTTAGAAAGATCAAAAAGGGGCTTATGTGTGTTTGTATATTTTTGTTTGTTCTAAATTACTTATAAAATATTTATTTAAATATTTTACTATTGGTTTTTGTTTGAGCAAAAAGCGGGACAAACACTAGAGTCCCATGGACACCAAAACTGGACAATAGGAGCAAAATTCTAAACTGTCCAGCCCAATTTGGGACCGATGGCAACTATGCTAATTTAAAATAAAATAATGTTTTAGCATTCTGCTTCATCGTGTCTTGTTTTCATAGGGTCAGGATTTAAAGTTAAATTTCATCATCAATATTGTTTTTTTAAACATTTTTTTAGTAAAGACCTGGGAGTTCATAAAAATTAATGAATCCCAACCCTCCTTACCTGGCTATGTAAGCGTAGTATATACAGAGTTTTATAAATCTTCACCATTTACCAGTTTAATTACAAGTATAGAGCGACATGCTTGTTTGACAGCTCTGCATTTGACAGCTGGATTAAGAGTTTTAGAGTTAGGCTCTAATGTTCACTCTTTGCCTCTGATAGTGATTATGAATTTTGTAATTTGCTTTGATATCGATGTAGATTAATGATAATTTTTTATTCTTATTTGATTTCTCTTGTTGGAGCATTTGCTCGATGAACAGAGTGGTGAAAAGAGGATTAGATGACCTAACAGTGATCCATATAGCAAAAGCAAACCGATAGAGAGTAGATGCCAAAACTATTTAGATTGTAAATGGAGTTAAGATGTTGGTTAGGATGACAGCAGCGAAACAACATTGTTTGACAGGTGATGTTTCTAGCTTTTGATGGTGAATTATCAAAAAAGTAGCTGCCATCTTGGTGCGCATGGTTGGTGCATGTGATGAATATGAATGAGAATTGCCTGTCTAGATTTTAGATCCATGTTGACAAGTATATGTATCTGCAATTTCGAAATTTGTTTGGCCTTAATATTGATACAAGATATAGAAAAATATGTAAATAAAGCATCTTCAAATTTTCATTATAATTTATTTTGAAATAAAATTTTCTAACAACTTGTATTATAAAATAGTTAATAGTCAGACACTTTTGTGATGCTTTAACTACAAAAAATTGGGAAAATTTTTTATTGAAAATAACCTTTGGAAAAGCATTTGATAAATTTTTTCAAAGTTTTGTTACTTTTTTTTCGCTGTATGAGAGCTAAATATACTTCAAAATAATTTTCTTAAAATTCAGACGTCTGGAAAGTTCACTTTTGACATGCTTGTTATGATGTTTTGTAGCAGATTTATACTCTCTGATATTTTGAATCAATTTTTGGATCATTTTATTTAATAAAAAATTATTTATTTATAATTTTATTTTAATTTTTTTATTATGTATAATATTTGGTTAGGCTGTCGTTAGATTTAAATGATTTCAATAATTTTATTTTTCAAGTGTTAGAAACATAAAAATTTTTAAATCCTGCAATATTTCATCCTATTTGTTTTGAATTTTATTTTTTCGTTTGTCAGACAGAAGATCCGAAAAAGTTTTCGAAAACAAAGAAAAGAAAAAGTTCAATTGCTGAGGTCGCATCAAAAAAAAAAAAAAAATCCAAAGTTGAACACAGTCCAAAGAAAAAACACAGGAAAAGATCTAAAACTTTGTTGCCTGAATCATCATCTGAATCAACAAAATCTAAACATAAAAAAGATTCAAAAATGTTGAAATTAACAAAAAGTTTTGAAAAGAAGAATAATCATAAAAAACGAAAAAAAAATGATTGTAAAGGTTCAAATGAAAAATTAGTAAGAAAAAAAAAGCATTCAAAATCAAAACACTTTTCTTCAAGTTCGAGCATGCTGTATGACGACATATCATCGAGTCCTCACATCTCTAAAGAAAGTCGACTACATGTTAGAGATGATTTTCTTGCTAGATCATCATTCAAGGAGGTAGACAGCTTGTTGGATGTTAATATTGATTCTGTTGAGGCATATAAAAAAAAACAAAAGGCATTAGATAGAGTATTAAAAAATTATGACAAGCATATTTCTACTTCAAAGATTTGTAGCAGAGTGAAAGAGAAGTTCAAAGTTAAAAAGACTGACTGGGGACAGTTTGCTGAACCTATTGTTGAAAGTCCTATAACCATTAACTCAAATGATATTAAAAGCCTTTACGAATTGTCTGTTGGCAGAATGGACTTGAGTAAATCATACAGTTCTTCTCAGGGGTCTTCGATCAACATTCATTCAGATCATTTGACACAACCAGATGACAAAATTTCAAGTAGTTTAGATAACGATGATTTTATGAAAAAAGTGCCTGATAAATTTACAAAAGAAGATGAAGAAACATGTATGAAATGCAATGATGGTCGTGTTAATTTAGAAAAGATTAATGAGTCCATTGAAGCTGAAAACTTATTTTCTAATGAAAGTAACCTGGAAAATGTTATGTCCACTACAGGCTGTGTTCCCTCCACTGCTTCTCCTGCCAGTGCTAATACTACTGTTACCACAACAACTACTGCAACTACTACCACAAATACTACCACTGCTACTAATACTGCTGAAACAATTTACAATAATATCAACAACAACAGTAATAATAATGAAAGTTGTAGTTTAAGCATCAGTTTTGTTGAATGCAACGATTGTGAGGATGTTCAGTCTGACAGCCACATTGGAGTTATTGAAAAAACTAATCAAGAACAGCTCATTGAACCTTCTGTTGTGAGTTATGCAACTGATAACTCGAAAAACATTCAGGCCAGAAATTTAAGCCAGGATGCTGCATCAGTAAATGACGTAAATTGTCAGCATTCAATTGATATGACTGGCTTGCTGGTTGTTAAGGAAGTGTTAAATGAGCTGATCACCTCTGCTATGCAACTAATGGGACATTCCAATGAATGCCACCCAGAGAAATTTACACTTAATGACAATTTTTGTGATGGCGGTAAAGATATTGAAAAATGGCCGGATGTTGACATGACGAAAGTGATAAGAGTCAGGTCAAGGAAAAAGCCGTCAAAACACGACAATGATGATTTCAACAAGTCACTCGTTTCTTCCAGAGAATTGTTGAGTGTAAAAGCATATGGTGAAGGTGAAGATGATGAAGTTATTGGCTTTAGTTGTGTGTTCAAGTTTTAAAATGTGAACAAATATGTGTTGTTTGTGCTAAATTTTTATTAATGAACATTGTGAACAAATATGTGTGGTTTGTGCTAAATTTTTATTAATGAACATTTTATGAAAGTTTAAATTTGTCAAATTTTGTTAATTCAAATACAGATTCAGGTAGAACAGATGAAATTGTTTCTAGTCACCAATTGAACCAATTGAAAATTAATAAGGGTCATCATTGTTCAAGGAGCAAGACTGATGACGATCACACTGTTGGTAGTTCAGGCAAAAAACATTTAAAAAGAAAGAAAAGACATTCTGAAAAGGAAAAAAAGCAAAAGAGAATTAATTCAAAGTCTAAGCAGTCAGAGGAGACAGAAAGCGATCATCCTCACATGAATGCCACAAAGCATAGAGTTAAAGTTAAGAAAATTAAGACCAGAGCTAGGTGAGTTGTGAGTTTTGTTCATTTCCTTAACGTGCAGCCATTTAAAAAAATTCATACATAATTTTATCCGTGTTTGGCTTACCTTTATGTTTTTTAATTTTGTTAACAATAACTTATCGCATATTTATTTTTTCCTTATATATCATAGAAACGTCGAATGTTTAAGCAAAATTAAAAAAAATAAAAACTGTTTGTTAAGAAAATTAATTTACTGGTGGTCGCTGATGAAGATTCTGGAAAGAATGAGATATCGAAACAGTTAACAATAAAATACGTCGTGCAATTGCTTCATAATGAAACTCTGTCATGCATTTGCAATTTGTTCGCTTTTAAAATGTACGGGTTATTTTTTAAATAACATTCGTTTACGGCGACTGAAATTTATTAAATGATTAATTAAACATTTAATAGAAGTCAAACTCAAATTATTTCCACGTTCACAAATTGTAACTGTTCCTTAACTATCTGTTTCATTAGTTACTTGGTTTTTCAGAGATTTCTTTCGCTTTTTATAGTATCTTCAAAATTACGTCTAATGGTCTAATTATTCTGCCGCATGTGGTATTTATATTTAATTATCCGAGGCCCCTTGCTGTTGTTTGATTTTTTTTAAATGTTTTCTAAGGGTAAATTCGTAGTTGTTGCAAACATTTTACGTCCCATTGAATTAAAATATTTAGGTACAGATCTCGATCATTCTCGGTTTCCCATACTTTTGACGAAGAGAAAGGAGTTTGGAGAGAAAAACGAATTGTGGAAAAGTTAGTAGGTACTCAGTTTGTTCTTGTAGTTTCTTATCAAAGTTATGAGATGTTAGCTAGTTGTTGTACATTTTTCGTGATGTTCTAGTTTTCGGTTTTGTATTGTTCGGTGAAAAACTATAAGAAGTTAATTGCTACGATTTCTGTTAATATAATTCAACTGTAAAGAATTAGAATGATTTTTTTTCTTTAAACTAGAATTCCCATCTAATGAATATTTTACAATTTTCTCTTCATGAGCAGATCAAGAGTGCCATTGTTCACAGATAGCCAGAAACGTGATTTGAGAAAGGCAGCAATGTAAGTATTATTTCTAACTATTAATTTGTATGTATCATTATTCTGGCTGAAAAACAATTTTTTTAAACAATGCTTTTAAAATCTGAAAACTTTTTAGGTCTGCCCTTTAAAAAGCATTTAATGCTTTAAACTGCTGAAATCTAATATATTTTAAATATTAACAATGGCATTTCAAAATATATTGCAGTTTCCATAGTTATATAGTTTTACTTGGTTATTTTGATATTGACGCTGTATTTAATATTTTTATTTTGCATTGCTTGCTTTTTTCTTGTGTTATTGCTATTAGTATTGTTATATTTATCGCCATTCGCAGAGTTGCTTCAGCTTCTGTTGATGTTTTTTTTTGTGCCAAACATTTTTTATTTAATTTTTTTATTTGTTAATCCTGAAAATCTTGAAACATTTTGATAAATTTGGAATGAAATAAAAAATTTTGTGAAATATTTAATGAAATGTTTTGTTGATTTGTCAGAAAAGCAGCAGAAAATTCTGATTACGTGAACAGGTATGTCAGACCATTTAGAGCAACTGCAGTACATCTCGATAAGCGATCCAAGGTTGATGAACTCACCAGTACGCTAATTTGATTAATTCACTTCCAAATCTCATTAATTCAATTTTTATAAACAAAAATTAGTTTGGGAAGGAAACAGTATTTTAGGCATTCTTGCGAAAATGTAAAAGGTATATAAAAATAAGGAAAGGTTTATTGAGTGTATTGGAAGATGATGTGCAGAAAAATGGGAAACAGTATTTTATGAAGTAATGCGGACCTATGACGACAGGTTTGCATTAATAATTGAAATTAAAAATGTAGTCTGGAGTGAAGTAAAGTTTAAACACGCAGCATTTAACAAATAAGTCTGGAAAAATAAACTGATGTTGCTAATATTGGAAGCTACAAACTGTTATTCACTGCAATGATTGCAAACGCCTCAATTTGATAGAATGGAAAGATTTTTTGAAAACTATTTGAGCTTATTTATTTTGACACCCGATTACTCCATTAAATATCTTATGATTTAAACTTGAAGATTACATATATTCCAACAGATTTTTGTAAAAGTCTAGCTCGAAAAAGTTACGATAGTGATTTGAGTGACAGCGAGGACGAGAAAGAAAAATGTAGAATGATGTCAGATGCTGAGGACTATGTTGGTTGCCCATCCCTAATTGATAAACAAACATCTATAAAGATGAAAATAAAAGTACAGTCCAATTCCATTTTACAAATTTTTCTAATTATTGCCTCTCTTCATTTTGTCATTTTATTCGTGCATTGTTAATGTATGTATTTTATAATAATGATATGTCATAAAGCACTCTGATTTACAAAACGTGAAGGACTCCACGCAACTGCCTGTGCTGAACACCAAAGAGAAGCAGGTAAGAGAATATGTGCTCAAGCAGCAATTTCCTGTGTCGAGTGGCGTACTCCATCACGAACGTAATAAAGGCTGGGTGCCTGTAGAAAAACCTACCGAATGTTCCTTCAAAAATTCACCTCCACCACCCCCTTCCTTCTCCTCTTCCTCGTCACCACTCATGATTACTGTTCCCTCCAAACCATTGACACAAGCTGCCGAGGCAGCTATCCAGATCGCAAATGCTCAAACGGCACAGGCACCTGATTTTCTAGCAGAGAATGAAAAAAAGAATTTGGATAAAAATGTCGAAATTTCACTCAGCAGTGCAGATTTTTCCCGCAAACATTTTTCCAGTACAAAACCCTCAATATTAGGAATGAGGAGTAGAATTTTAAGATGTTTAAATTCCAAAGAAGCGCAAAAAAATTACACGAATTCCTGTGTTGTGACGACAACAGTTCAAAATCCTACAAACATCTACAATGGTCTTGTACTTCCTCAACCTATAATTCAGACATCAACTTTTAAAACTTTGCAAGATCTCTGCCATACAGCAGCAACAACATCAGCAACAACAACATCAACAACAGGATCTCCATCCTTATTCAACAGCAACGAATATGCCCCGACTCCGGAATCCTTGCCACATGCCACAAATAGCAGGTTACTGATATCCTTGATGCTAATGCAACATCCCGATGCACGAATACCTCTTCCTAGAGCATCTACACAGAATCATGGATCCGATTCCACTGATGATCGATTTTCAGATGCAACGGCTGAATCTAATTACCCACCTGTCTATAAAAAGGTTAGCTTTAAATAATTTTTCCATTATCAACTATGCGTTTTCAGATTCAAATGTTTTGCAAAGAAATTTAAATGCTAACTTGATGGAAAGATTAAGTTAATTTGAGATATTGATCCTGTTAAAACTGAAGCTGATAAATGTTGCAACTTACTGAACATGGTCAGATGGATAAATGCAGGCTTAAAGATAGCATGAATATTATATAAAATATTACATAAAAATATTTTAATGAAATTATAAGGCGTCAACTTATAACATGAAATTGTCAGTGATAGTGATTTATCGGTTTAAGGTTCCATCAAATCAAATCAATGATAGAATGTACATAACTTGTGGCTTGTGTTTCAATTGAACTCGATGTAAAGGTTGAAAGCCTGAAATTAATTAATGAGTTGGAGCCAAGTTGAAATTGGGCTTAAGGAAAGTTTAAGGATTGACCAGGAAACAAAAAGCAAAAAATGTTTGGAAGGCTAATTTATTGGAAGGATATGGATGAATAGAAGAAGAATAAGTTCTAATTACAAAAATTATATATACAGGGTGCTACACAGTAGCCTTACGTAATAAAGGTAGTTAATTCAGTTGGGCTACGGCTACATATGATCCAGTTTATGAAATGAGCATGCCCTAAAGAGTACATTGAAATAAATGAAAACAAACCGTATACATGAAAGTGAAGACATTTCTGAGAATTATTTTGAATCAAGCTACCTTTCTATTGGAAAAAATTACGGGTAAATATTTATTCGCTTTTGATCTTGCAAGGAATATTCCGAACTTTTAACGCTGGTTTTGATGAAACTTGTTACGTGCTATAGGTTTCATTTTAAATAATAAATTTATTTTAAAGTAAGTAAATGTGAAATAACATTGTGTATTCTTTTCTAGATTCAATCAAACGAACATCAAAATGGTACCACTGCATCTAGCCCAATTTTTTCGCGCTCAAACGAAACGTCCCAAACGTTTGGTCTTCGTTCAGAAGTTGGTCGCATTCTGTTGATAAAAATGGGATGGAAAGAAGGAGAGCAAGTAGGCATTGGATCCGCCAATCCTGGTCTGATGAAGCCCATTGAGATCGTGATGAAAAATGATAGGAGAGGTTGTTACTTTAAATCATTTGTATGATCGGACATTACATTTATATAAAATTCACATAATTTCAAGGACTGCAAACTTCTGAAGAAAGCCTAAGAATGATAAACATCGAAAAAAGAATTTATAAAGGTTAGTTTCTAATTTTTATTTCAAAAATATTTTACAAATGGCAATTGATGTTATAAACGATTGAATTTGAACATTAAAATATTTGAATGTTCAGGTCAGCACCCAGTGTCTTACTTGATTATATTTTGTTTGAAGAGAAGATGGCTGATGCCAGAGTTCGAGCTTGTTGATGAAGGAGGTCCTCCCCATATGAAGTTTTTTATTTATAAGGTTTGATTGACAGGATTATTTAAATATTTGTAATTCCAATTAGGCCAAATTTTTATCCAGTTCATTTTTTTGGTCAATCGTCGATAAAAACTTGAAAAAATAGATTCTTAAATTTACTATCTGATGCTATTGAACTTGATTCGTTTAAAACGTTGAAGGTAAGGGTTAATGGCGTGGACTATCAGCCGGCAACAAGCAGCTGCAACAAGAAGTCCGCTAAAGTGGAGGCAGCTATTTGTTGCCTGCAGAAAATTGACCATCTCGGTTGATTCGCAGTGAGTAAGAGAAGCAGTGAAAGAAATGATGAAATTAATGGCCTGCTTTTTACATTCTCAAATATATTTACACTATTTAAATATTGCATACTGTTTTATTAACTAACGTTCGAAAATTTAGGAAGTGTGAAAAATGTACAAATATCATTTCTAATTTTGTACAGAATACATTTTTTATACAATTTTACACATCTCGCGCTATCGTTTAAATTCAAATTACTTTTATTTATCAAATAATCAAAAAACGTTTAAAATTTATTTTGTCGTCACACTAATTTTATTATTGATCATATTATTGATTTACTCTTGATCGTACTATTCTCTTAAGGCTGCTAGATCTTTCTTTTAATATTACTGATTCTTGTCTATCTTGGTTTTCATCTTATCTCTGTAATCTTTTTTTTCTGTTGTTCTCAATAATTCTACCTCTAACTCCTCTACTCTTTCGGGGTACCTCAGGGTTCTATCCTTGGCCCTCTTCTATTTATACTGTATACCTCTAAACTACCTCGTATTATTAATAACTTTTTTTTCACTAGTCAGCTATAAGCTGATGATTCTTATATTTATTCTTCTTTTCCTTCATCTAATCTCAATAGTGTTCTTCATAATCTATCTCTATGTCTTTCTTCAATTATCGCTTGGTCTGACTCTATGTGTCTTAAACTTAATCTTTCTAAATTTGAATTAATCTGTTTTAATAAATTTAAACACTCTGTTACTATTCCTCCTATTATCTTACCTGATTTTAAAACTCTTGATGTTTCTCACAATTTTCGTAGTCTGGGCTTTATCTTTGATTCTTGTATGTCTCTTTCTTCTCAGATTAATAGCGTAGCTAGAAGTTCTTACTTTCATCTACGTAGAATAAAAAAAACTTTTGCTTTTTCTTGATGATCCTACTCTTCTCCTTCTTGTTACTTCGTTAGTTTTATCTAGGATTGACTATTGTAACTCGCTCTACTATGGTCTTCCTCTATCCTTTAAGTAAAGCTTTTAACTCTGCTGCTCGTCTAGTTGCTCTTGTCCCTTTCTTTTCTCATATATCTCTATATCTTGTTCTGCACTGGCTTCCTATAAAATATAGAATAATTTTTAAAATTTGCACATTTATGTATAAGTCTCAATCTAAATTAATTCCATTAGTACTTAACAGATATTATTAATTGAACTCAACGTCCCGGTTTACGATGTTTTTCTTGTTCTCGCTTATTCTTAACTCGTGTTAAACACTACTTTGCTAAATCTGCTTTTGCTTTTTCTGGCCCTTTTCTCTGGAACTCTCTATCTACTTCTCCATCACTTACGAAGTTCAGAGCGGATCTCAAGACCCATCTGTTTTCAAAATTCATTGAGGAGCGATGTTGAACATCGCGGAAATAGCGCTTTACAAGCTAATTAATTGATTGATTGATTGATTATTTAGAAAGTTAAATAGAAGAAAGAAATAAAGAATTATATGAAAATATTAAATAAATACTATCAGAATTAAATTACAATGAATCAATAAATAAATAAAAATATAATTGCTTAAAAGAGCTTACAGTTACGCTTAGTTAAAAAAAAATTTTGCAATTTAATTTTTAACAAAATGCTCGTGCGTATTTGACCAAATGGGAAATCACCAAATGACAGGTGAATATTGATTGCGGGTGATTATCTAGTGACGCGACCATGGACGCGACTGCTTCGTGGAAAACATTTTGACAAGTACTATAGTTCAATTTTTTTAATACCCCGTGGGTTATCAGACGTCTGTGATACCGTCAATGCTGGCACTTCCCGAGGCAAGGGTTGCATTTGGCACTTCTGTCTCTGTCATATGGTACCGATGGATATGCTTTCAAGTGATTTCAGTCACATTTAACATACAGATTTCGTTGCCAGCGCAGGTAAAAAAGACCTGGGCACGGCTTCTTCGGAATTAACCTGCAGATCTGAACTACCTGAAGAATTGCTTTAGATCACGTCTGTCGCGTCTAACACAGTAAGCCTAGTAGATCGCTGGATGTCGTCAAACAGGCGTAAACTCAACGTCAGTAAAACGCAATATCCTACGCCGCGTGGTCTCAGAAACAAAGAGTTTATAAAAATCCATTAACAAATTTGGGAGTCAGTCTGAATCCTCATCTGTTTATGGCTAACCACATATGTCAACTCTTCCAGCGACGTTCCTATCGATTCTACAAAATACGATCAATCAGACGTATGTAACCGATGAGTCAAAAAGAGCAAACGTTTGTAGTTACATCTGTAGCAAAATCTACTACTGCAACGTGCAAATGTACGGCATCAACTTATCTCCCTTGTTTCAGGGATTACAAACCGACATCGATTGAGATCCTCCAAAGTTCGGCCCCTGTCGCAATAAACTTACTACAAATTTTAAATTGCTTGCCTTTTTCTTGTCGGGTTATCTGGATAGCGCGAATGTCACGCTTGGCGTAGTCGTTTATTGGGCAACAACAAACTTGTTAAAGCGACGTCTTTTAAAACTATAGATCTATCATACGCCATAGTAATAGACTATACTCAATTACTAACACGCACACGCACGCTCACACAACAGAAATAATAAAATAAGCAACATGTATCTCATGTAAACATTTTTATTTACTAACCGATTAATTTATAGATATTAAAGCAAAAAATTTACAGGTGGTTGTTGTAATAAACGACGAAACGCCACGTCCCCACTTAATGCTACGACGAAACAACGACCCGAATGAACAAAACTACAAAAATTATTAAAACCAACGCTCTTTCAAATGCATTTAGGGGGCAGCAATTTTAAAATTGTAACGTTCTCTAAAAATAAATCACTGGTTTTTTTTATAATTAAAAGTGTCCAGCAGTTACACACATATGGCGTCAATGAATCAGTTCTTACAAGCATAAAATGTGATAATTCTTCTTAAACGTCTGACCAAGGCAGGTATAAAACCAGACGATGATGAGTCTTTTCTTTGATTCTGATAGTATATATTTAAATAAAATTATCAACGATACTCATCATTATGATTTATGATACAATTTCATTTAGACCTAGAAATAGGTGATGGAGACATCTTTCTTGAAAACGCTAAAAATATACGATGGTAGATTTAAAGATTTCAAACAATTGTCGCTGCGTGATGATAACTAAAATTCTAATAAGAAAGTTGAAAAAGAAGGAATGGGCTCCATAAAGAGAAAATATAAAGCAACTTGTAAAGAAACAATGAACGATCGACATTTGTGTAACACACCTTGTAAACTTTCAATAAACTTTCAAAAAAAATCTCGTTCATCCAGGTAACGCTTTCTTTCTTGAAGATGGTAATATCCTCCTCTGACAGGCCGGCGTCCATTAAGAACCCATCGGATGTCTTCGTCTCATTCGAGCCTACGCCAGACAGTGAAAATGAAAATGATTATTTCTTTATAAATAAATATTTTAATTCCTCTAAAACCGTTTAAATATAAACTGGGTATAAATTTCCAACATTTGCTGTTGCTTATCAAAACAGCTAAATACATCAAACGACCAGCAAATTTAGTTTCAAACGGCGAAGAATGCTCAAGAATCATTTAAGAAGTTGCATTTATTTATACAGAACGACAAGCACGTGTCTATTTCCATCTGGAAAATTTGGTCGCTAATGCTGTCGAATAATGGCCAGAGTCTAATAAATCGATGAAGAAACAAATAGTGTATTACGAACATTTTAAAATGTTAAAAACAAGCTGCTTCAAATTTACATTGTGCGATGTTTTTGCTCGTGAATATATAGCAAATGTAACATTATTTTTAGAGGTCTAAGCAGTTAGTGGTATCATTGTGAAAAATGAAATGATTGTAACGTACCTTTAAAAAAGTGGAGATGACTGATGTCGGAGCGAGCACTCCTACCATTCACGAGGTAGAACTCCATGTGAGTCCACAACAAGAAGAGACCATTCTCTATGATGACTGTTGATGATTATTCAAATTATATTCTTTGCTTCAACATGAGTGAAAATTATTAATTTATTATAAAGGCCAAGCAAGTCAGTTGCCAACGACTGCTCGTCATTACAATGATTGAATGATGTGATGTCTGTGTGTGGACTCCTTGCTACAAACGAGTGACAAATGCGGATGGCATTTTAATAACATAACAATAAAAAAATAATACATTTTTTCTAACTAAACGACTCTATACAATCAACACAAAACATTATTCGAAATTAGTTCAAAGTTGACCGCAAAAATATGAACTGATACTCAACACGATAAAGCGTTTAACGCATAATGAACTGCAAAAAAAATATATAACTAAAATATGCAGGTCTCAGAACGAAGAAGCAAGGATGAATAAAAACTGTATGAAAATTTGCGATGTGACGGAGTTCATGTCCCACAGCAGTGAAAGCTCTAACTCCCAAACACATAAAGTATACATGCATGAAACGGTGTCCTTATTCTGCTACGTAACTATTTCTAATAAAAAAAAACTGAATTTATTCAAAGAATATGTAAACTAACAAGTCAACAGGCGTAGTTCTTTGGATTTCATTTCGAGAAGTGTGGCAATTCTGTTGATGATGATGCAATCTTTTTGTTGGGAGGACTTCAACAGTTTTTCCGGTATGGACAGCTGATTTGTGCGAGAAATAAATAAATAAACAAATTACTGTGTAAAATAATATCAATTATTATTTACCGCAACTGAAAAATAGGTTAGAGCAAGTTGTTCAAAATACTATTACTATTAAATATATCATAAAAAGTGATCAACCTCCTTGATTTCACGATGGCTGAGTTCGTGTAAATTTTCTTTTGATTTGCCAGAGAACATGTTGTGGAATTCAAGACAAACTAAATACTGGCGGCATGAATCTATCAAGAGCTGAACTAATGTAGCCAGTGAAGGAATTGTGGAGGGTTTTGAGGCTGCCACTTCGTAACCTTTCCAATTATTAGATTATTGAACAAGTTAAATTGCAGTTTAATTACAATGTTTATAGATTTACTTAGTACCAAAAATTGTAATTTAACTTTGTATCAATAATTGATTTCCATCAATAACACCAGTCTGTTACATTTACTACAAAAATATCACATGGAACAAGCAAAAGACGCAAGAATGGATAATACGCTATTGACATGCATCCAAAAATGAAGTGAGCATAAATTTATAACTGAGCTGATATTCGTATATTTTGTTGTGCTTACTTTTTAAATTTATCGCCTCTGGTTTTATGGCTACTAACTAATCCACAACTTACCATCCAATCGGGCCTTAGGGATATACATATCTAATTTTGTCTCTTATTTATTTTATTTAATTGATATGTATATGTAATACTTTCAAACCGTCAATTATTCTTGATTTTAATTAAGATTATTTTGACTTTGTAAACGAATATTTTAGACAATCGAACGAAAATATTTTGATTTCAGTCAAGGGTGGCCTATCCACCTATAATTTCTTTTCTTATTTTGTTTGGCTTCGTAATAAAATAATAAAAAAATAATTGCAATCTTGAGTAAAATAACATTAATTTAAATCAGTCATTTAGCCAATCTTACTGCAGTTCTGATAGAGCCATTAATATATCTGCTCAAGAAAATTAGCAATGAACAGACCACGACACCATGTTCCGACCAAGTACCGGTATCTATTTAGAAATTTATATACACATCTACCAATGTCTCGATTAATAAAAGATATGCCTCTTTGTTTCTATGTTTTTATTTCCTGTTAGATGAGTGGTGTCCGCTGGATGCGAATGGCTCAGTGATATAATTACTCATACATATCTGCATAGATGCATGAATGTGTGTATGAATGTGTGTGCGAATGTGTAGATACATATGGCAGGTTGATTGCGCTGAGCACCATTATAAACTTGAAAACATCATATTTGCCTTTCAGTCCATCTTAATAAACTCCCTCCAAACGAACCACACATTAAAGTTGATAATTAATCATCAACACATCAAAACAATTGTTATATTCCTAAGTTTATTGTCATTAAATTTTTAACTGTAATCCAAAAATGTTGCAGTGAAAGAATCAAGTGAAATATGTTTGCAAGAAAAATCTACCTATTAAATTATTCAAATAAATTTGAAAAACAAATCAAAACCAATGTACTAATTTTGAGATCAACTTTCTTCTAGCCTAATGTTTTTAAATCAATTCAAACCAGTATAATAGACCCAACAAGTGTTATGTAGCCATTAGAATGAAACCAAAAATTAATATTTCATCAAAAGTTCAATTAACCTAAAAAAGTAGCGTATCTCTTCTGTTCAGTGCATGAACTAAGTTGAGGGGAGAAGAGGACGACCGATCCAATCACAGCTGAATGATAGAAAGTATCACAGTTCACAAATTTTAATTATTTAAACAAATGTTGAAGCAACAACAATAACCTATCATCACTTTTCGGGGCAACATATAATTTAAGTTCCTCCACTTGCCAACTTAAACTCGTTCAGTTCCCTCGTTACGATTTTGCACTCTCAAAACGCCCATCTGGGTTATGACCTCCTTCTCAATCATTACACTCGGATGAGGGTTCCAACTTTTGAGACCTCGTTTCATCCGATGATCTTCGTATGGTAGTCTTATTAAATGTTCATTGTTAGGCTCGCATGCAACTCAGGTATCACGTATCAATTGAATATTCTTATCAATTCTCAATGCATTATCAAACTTTAACAAATACATCAACAATCCCACACTAGCAGACTCTCTTACAAAAATCTTTTACCAGATTATTTCTGACCGTGACTTTTAATGCAATTCTAAAAAATTTCTTCTAACAATTACTCATTCTGATAATTCAATAAAAGACGAAGACCGTTAAAAGATTCCAATTTGAAGCCTTCCACTGTGAAATAATATTTGGCGCAACTTATAACATACAGATCAAGCAGCCACACACAATGTACACAAATAAAAAATGTATACAAACATGAAATGTGCACAAACATGAAATGGGTACAAACGAATAAATTGTTCACAAATATAAAACGTGAACAAAGTAAAAGAGCTTGAGTGACGTGCAAAACGGAAAGTTGACTAACGGGATTCATTGATGATACTCCTGCAGAGCGCTAATGAGTTGGATAATATCTCTTCAACAATGGTCATTATTTTCTGCCCGACATCTGAACTTTGATCTGTGGCAGTTGAATCAGGATTGAGGTCGTCATCGTAGAAGGCGTCTCCGTGGTCAGCATAATTGTGGACGAGATTGTTTTTGATCTGCTTGATCATATTAGATGTTTGTTCGCCGCAAATGGAAAATCTATTAAGAAGGTTAATGATAGGACGTTGGAGACGGTTGAGACACATCTTCACATCTCCATACATGGCATCAAGCAGCATGACTTCTTCTATTATACCTGCGTCATGTTCAAACGTTTTTGCGTTCGATCAGTTGCATGCACAGAATGTTATTATCAAGTGAGTTATAACACTTGAAAAAGAAATTAATCAAAAGCAAAACAACATTTAAAAGGAGTTCCATACAAATAATGCAATCGTTGAAAGGAACCAACTTTCGTGAGCTATGGAAGACAGCAGAGCAACAACCAAGTGGAGCTCCTTCAGTGATTCCATCGTTCTTATGTCTTGAGGGTGCATAGAAATTATGTTTGTGAAGGTTTCCACGTGAGCCATCACAAACAAAAATACCTACATGAAACATTGTAGCAAATAATTATTCGTATCTAACAAACTAATTCAGAATCTGATGGAAGGAAAATAGGTCGAAAAATTGCAGACGAGAGGGCGTCGGTGAGATAATTTAAAAATGAACGATCACAAACCTTGCTGATGGCAGCATTGTCAGAACCTAACGAGGAGATGAGAGTGAGTGAAAGACGGACGATAGGAAATAAGATGTGATGTCTGTATCGAGACAAAATTGATGGCACAAAGCCTGAGTTCTCATAAGGATATCTGCAAGTCAAAATATATGATGTTGTTGTTATTTAAATTTTTATTAGGGATAAAGCTTAACAAAAAGTCGATAACGAAATTTAAAACATTATCAAGGCCGTCGTTCCATCATCATCATCACCACCACCGAAACTCACCCCCCTTCGTGTTTGGGCCTCAAGCTGAGTACGGAGCATGCAGCAAGATGGGACATGACGTCACAAGAAAGCAGAACGTTGGCTCCTTCGCGCGTCCTGGCTATCCGACTCAACAGACTCTTCGATTAACATTTTTCCCCCAAGTTTATTTGAAAAAATTCAAGCAGATCAAAAAGTAAGTAAATACTTGTGGAGACCACTCTCAACTAAATTATAATTATGTCACATACAGAATAATGTAGTTATTCAACGAAACATAAACATAAAAATTGACATTCATATATATGTACGTACATGTATACGCATTCATACATAGGCACGTCAGTAAATAAAATAATGAAATAAGTCAATGAAACACAAATATTGACAGCCCTAGTCAAATGATTATAAAATGACAGAAAAGTAATTGCTTTCATACTGCAAAATGATAACATTAAATATTTATTCATTCGCTTTCAAGAGATTTTTTTTAAATCATGAACCCCACAATACATAAATCATTCCCACACATGAAGTTCCAAAGCTCCAAACCACTCACTGCTCAATGTCTACCATTCAGGTCAGTTCTACTGTATGTCAGAACACAATTCATTCAACTATAAGAAATTTATGTCATGCTTGTTGTATGTAAAATAGCCAGAACATTTTTTAAATAATTAATGGCCTAAAACAAAAACAGCCCATTCGCCGAGCATCTCCAGGTCTCCTCTGTGCAACTCACAACGTTGAAATCAAAATTATGCACGTAAGTGTGCAACAAAGTGCTAGGTACGTTACTCAATCTACAAGATTTTGAATGATCTTAGAAAGTGTCAGTGAAGGGTATTACTGCTGACAAAATGGAAAAAATGCATATGACGGCAGGACGGATCTGTAGCATCTATGCAACAGGTTAGTCCTTAGTGAAGACACTATTTTTCAGTACGACAAATGTTATTAAGAAGTGCCGACGAGCAATGATGATAGTGATGTTCGCCGTTATTATATATTTCCTATCTAGTATATATAAAATAGTTTGGAAATTAAACTTTTTTATTTTACGTATTTCGTTGGCTATTCAAAAATTTGTTACAGAAACACAAACAGACATAATTAAAACGTGCATAATTAAAATTAGGCAAAAATAACCATTTTTGATTGAAAAATGAAGAGAGTTTTAAGTGGGACAGGGTCAGGGTTGAGCATGAGTTTGAGGTGGTGATCATCTGCACTGATGCCGTTCGTGACGTGTTGTATGCATCCGCACGATGAAACATCGTTCAGCCACATCTTCTGAGTGTCAATAAGCAGGACTTTGTCCAAAACGCTCATTGACAGCATCTGAGTAAGTACATTAACATGACATACAGCAGGAAAAACTACAGAATATACAGAATAAATAGTATAAATAGTATATATATATATATATATATTCTATAAATTCTACCGAATGTTTGGCGTTAATATGTTTGTAGTTCGTTTTTTCGATTGTCAATAAAAATGTCACACCAACCAACCCAAATAGTAAAGTTAAACTCCGAATTTATTACAACAATAAAAAGACGTCTCACCTAATACTGAAAAACAACTGCAGTCCTAGAGATAACTCTGAGTTAAAGCGTAATCACGTAATATATGAATTTAATTGCCCCTTTGACGGCTGTGCACGTCAACATGACTCATATATCGGGATTACTACTACCTCACTGACTAGAAGGCTTACGATGCATAAACAGAGTGGTGCTATCAAATCTCATTTGGACTCAACACACTCAATCACAATTAGCCGTGAAATCCTCGACAGCAACACCAAAGTAATATACCAGAACCGCAACTACACGCATCTTAAAATTGCAGAAGCAGTCCTAATCGACATCAATAAACCAAAAATAAATATACAACAAAAAATGACAACCTCACTTCCAACCCGGCGCTTAACCAACAACGAAAACAAAGAAGTAATAAAAACTAGCATCGTAAATAGTGACAAAGAAGAATATGATGCTATCGATGAAGAAAAGGAGACCAAAGAATTAAGGAGACCAACCAATTAAGAAACCTGACACCTAATTCGAATAATCGAAAAAACGAACTACAAACATATTAACGCCAAACATTCGGTAGAATTTATAGAATATTGTAAAAATTATGGTCTATTACCTACATATATATATATATATATATATATATATATATATATATATATATATATATATATATATGTATATATATATATATATATATAAAGAGAGAGAGAGAGAGAGAGAGATCTAAGACTGTCGTAGACAGAATTGTTAAGATATATCACTGCATCTTCAGCTTTGATTAATTTTTGGTTCAATTTTTCAATATTTTGTATCATATTTTAATCATCATTTTTTAATTTATTCATATAGAAAACAAATTTTTTAACTACTTTTTTTATTCATTTTATCTTATACAGAAAAGGCTTTTTTCGGTAATCCTTTACCATTTTCAATGTAGTTATGTTATCGACTATTGATTGTTCTTATATATCGTGTTGTTCGAAAAGTAATTTAGTTTTTTTTTTGCGGTGAAAATGACAGGCAATCTTCGTATAACGAATAAATATTTAATTAAATTATATATTGGCCATTCTGATCCAACAACTCCACGGTTATAAAATAACTTTGCTGGCAAAAACTGATCCAGGTGATTTTTGACAGTTCTGGCACTGGCGTATTGTCAACATATCTTCTACACACACATCAGTTAATTTTCTTCCACAGTTTTATTGATTACTTTGATTATACCATTTAATTTTGTCTATAGATCGGTCATTGGGTCTTTTTCTATAATTCTGAATTTTCTTTTATCTGCTAAAATAGCATTTATATTGTTGATACAGCTTTCCTTCTTCATTATGACGTATAAAATATCCGCTTTTCTTATTATTGTGTCATTGCTGTTATTTAATTGTTGTATATGTAAAAATATGAAATTTAAAATATATATAAATAATAAAAAAATTAAATATATATATATATATATATATATATATATATATATATATATATATATATATGTGTGTGTGTGTGTGTGTGTGTGTTGGTAATAGATCATAATTTTTACAATATTCTAATATTGTAAATATATATATATATATATATTAGGGTGGAGCGAATTTATACATAAAAAAATTTTTTTCTTCTTTTTACTTTTCCTGGGGTTGGGAAATATGTCTTTTATCGAGTTATTTCAATGTGTAAATTTTGAATTTTATTGAACATTGTTTTGAGGTTCCTCTCGGCTGGAGACTGTTTATGAATTGCATTTCAAAAGTAAACAAAACAATATCATCAAATTAAACATGTTATTAACTCAAATAAATCATTTAAATCTTGAAAAACAAAACATTAGTGTTTACTAGTTCACATCAAAGACTTAAATAATGAAGTGTTTTTTAGTTTCAAATTTTGGTATATCATTTTGAGATGCAAGTTTAGTACGAATAAAGCCATCTCTTGCTTTTTCTCCACAAACTGAAAGTGACGCTTCTGTAACTAATTTTATCATTCTTTCTACTGCCTGAGTATGGCAAGGCAACTTCAAAAATTCAATGTTATTAGGAATATCCATTATCATCTGTTCTAAAGCTTCAGTTGTGATATCTT